CTAAATTGCAGTTAGGCATGAAAAAGAGACAGAAAGCATGTCTCACACTGGGTAACATGGTATTGTGGGGGTTCAGACCCAGGATTTTGTTCAGTTTCTAACTAACTCTGGTCTCTGGGTCTAAGTTTCATTACCCATAAAATGGGGGAGCTAGACTTAGATCCCTCCCACTAGCAATGTTTCAAGATTTGATTGCAGAGCCCCCCAAGAGAGAGTACAGGAGGGACTTGTCACTTAGAGAGACCCTTCTGGGGTTGACAAGACTTCACTAGGGCTCACAAGACTTTGGGGTATAATTCTCCCCAGCAGTCATGGGTGGTGAACTTGGACGTTAATTCCAAAATGGAAGTTGGTAAATAGTGGGTCAGATTCTTTGAAAATGCAACAATGGAAATGAATCAAGCTGGAGCCCTTCTTTGCTGGATGTCCTTTGCTCTATGTGTGTATCAGTTCTGCTTTCAGACCTGTAAAACCAAGCACCTGAGTCTGTGGGAATCATTCTCGAAGAAGTGAATTAGGATTGGGGCCTCCTTGGTGGCACAGGGGTTAAAGACATTACTATCAAAGCTATTGCCAGCCACTGAAGCACAAGTTCGATCCCTGGCTGGCCAGGAGCAACCCACATGGTGCAGCAGACCTCTCCTGTCTCGCCCACTGCTCCTCTCAGCAGTGTATTTCAGTAGATCTGCCTGTTCTGCTCCCCACTCTGTCTCTGGTGAATCCTCTCACCCCCTGCACTTCTGGCTTACACCCCATTTCTTGTATGCATAAATAAAAAAGTGAAGGCCTCCCCAGTGGTGCAGCAGGTTGAGTACAGTGCGGTGAAGCTGTCCGCACGCAGCTTCTGTAGTGCGGGTTCAATTCCAGGCCTGCTGGGGAGATACCCACATGGCGTGGCAGACCTCTCCTGTGTCACCTGCTGCTCCCTTCAGCAGTGTATTCATCAGTCTGCCTGTTCTGTTCCCTGCTCTGGCTCTGGTGAATTCTCTCACCCTCCCGTGCTTCTGACTGTACCCAGTGCTTATATAAATAAATAAATAAATCTTAAAAAAAAAAAAAAAAGTGAATATTAGGATTGAACTAGTGTAATGACAATGAGGGGGAAAGCGTGAACTGGCCTGGAAAGAGAATGCTGGAAGTAGAGCGGACGAGTCTTGGTTTGATTAACAGTGTTGGGAAAGAAAAAAGGATTTATATTTACTGAATGCCAACCTCATGTTGGGCCCTGTGATAGACAAACAAAATTGAGTCTGGTGGAGAACTTGGACTTATAAATAATTACTATCCAATGTGCTAATCACTGCGAAAGAAGGATGCACTGGGGTCCATTAGCACAGGGCAGAGGGTGTGTGGGGGCAGTGGCTGTGTAGGGGCGAGGGGTGTCAGCGAAAGCTTCACAAGGAGATTTTGACCTGAGCCTTACAGGATAAGTAGGGTACTTAAGAGTTTGGTAGCAAACAAGGAATAAGAGATTTCAGGCCTGTGCCAAGGACTAAGAACAGAGTCCAAAAAATTGTTGGCCAGAAAAACCACATCTAAGCCAAAGACATAATTAGTTTTGCTCATTTAACATTTTTAGAAAATTTTGAATTTGTTGCCAACATTGAAAGATTTGCAGCTTTCACATAAAAATCCATATTTCTAACTTATGTTGAAAACCCAGGAGGCTCAGCCGCTCAGGGCCACATTCCTGTGTGGTGACAAAGCACTGGTGCAGCCACATCCCACTCTCTATTAAAATTCACCTGCCCGCATCAGCTCTTCACGTCACCTGCCTGGGCCTCTTGTGGTTGATGAATGATAACTGTGAGTTCTGGGTTACTCTCCAAGTCAAAAGGAGGAGTTCCCCCTCCCTGGGCTGAGCCTGTGAATGGTTTACCAACAGAATGTGGTAGCAGTTTCTTTGTGCTAATGAGGGGACCAATCCTTTTTAAAAAACTGTCAGTTTCTTGAAGCACTCTTTCTGAGGACACTCCCTCTCCAAACCCTAGAACTTTAAAATGGTGGTCATTTTAAAAATATTTATTTATTTAAAAGAGTTATTTATTTATGCATACAAGAACTGGGGTACAGGCCAGAGGTGCGGGGGGTGAGAAGATTCACCAGAGACAGAGTGGGGAACAGAACAGGCAGACTGACTGAAATACACTGCCGAGGGGAGCAGTGGGCAAGTCAGGAGAGGTCTGCTGCACCATGTGGGTAGCTCTCTGGCTGGGAATCGAACTCATGCTGCAGTGGCTTCATAGGTTGCTGCATAGGTTGCGTCTTAACCCCTTGCGCCACCAGGGAGGCCCTAAAGATTTATTTATTTATGCATACAAGAACTGGGGTATAGGCCAGAGATGCGGGGCGGGTGAGAGGATTCACCAGAGACAGAGCGGGGAACAGAACAGGCAGACTGACTGAAATACACTGCTGAGGGGGGCAACAGGCGAGACAGGAGAGGTCTGCTGCACCATGTTGGTAGCTCCCTGGCAGGTTGGGGATCGAACTCGTGCAGCGCAGCAGAGACTACGGATAGCTTCGTAGTGCTGCACCTTAACCCTTTGCGCCACCAGAGAGGCCCATGTGGTGGTCATTTTAAGTCACAGATTTTTTGAGTGGTTGGTTCCTCCTTAGCAAGTAACCAGGATGCCCCTCATCCTCCCTAGAGTCAGTCTCTGGACTGGAGGGATGGGGAGCACACTGAGCTTGGGTAATGACTAGCGGCAAGGCCAGAGAGCTGGATGGGGCACATCACCAAGGGCTTTGTTTGCCCTGTGGAGGGAGTTTCAGCTTTTTCCTGGAGGTGCTGAGGAGTGGGTAGGGTGTTGGAAGGGAGGCATGTTACCATCAGTAAGGCGACCCTAGCAGAGTTGTTGGATCAGAGGAAGGTGATTAGTAAGGGAGCTAGCAAAACAATCCAGCAACACCACTCCGGCATTGGCAGTGTTCACAGAGACCAGCTGGTGGGTGTGGTGTGGTAACAGACATCTGGACTTAGACCCCTAAATCATATACAGTGTTATAAACCAACATTATTTCAATTTACAAAAATAAATTTAAAAACAAAAATAGAAAGGGAGAGATTCCAGGCCAAGACTTCCTAGTCCCTCTGTGAGGCTTTCCCTGAGGTACTCATGGAACCCACAGCTCAAGATATCCACTTGTCAGTCAGAAGGAGGTATGCAGGCAGCAGGTAAGGTTCACAGAGACGGATAGGGGTTGTCAAAGTTTACAGTTGAAGCTGCGGATGTGGATGAGAGAGGGTGGGGAGACTGGGTGTGACTAAAAGAGGCAGCACCTTGGGAGTGCCCTGCAGTTGAGCAAAGGGAGAGACACTCTGCAGGGGCTTGAGAGAGTTACAGAGCAAAGAGAACCCAGAGAGATTGGGGGCTGGACACCAAAGAATGCGAAGATTCAGGATGGACAGAGTAATCTGACTTCACTAAAATGTGCCTGCTGGATGCCATGATCAGTTGGTTATGGGCGGCCTTGCGGGACAAGTCTGGTGCAGAGGTGGGGGCAGAAGCCAGAATCAAGGGGGTGGAGGAGTAAGCAGGAAACAAGGAAGTGGAGCTAGTGAGTGTAAATAGCTCTTTTAAGAGACTTGACTGTGAACATAGGGGTGAGATAGGGAAGTGGTTTGAGGTTGCCCAGTAGAGAGAGGTTCTCCAAAGACAGCAGGGGCTTGGGCATGTGTTTCTGTACTGAAAGGAGTGGGCCTGTGAAGAGGTGACGGGGCAGTGCAGGAGAAAGGGGTGCAGGAATGGGGTGAGGTCACTGAGGAAATGGAAAGGGCTGTGTCTCAAGAAGGGAGAATCAGCCTTAGGTCCAAGGGGGATGCCTCCTCTGAGATAACAGCCCAAGGCCCGTCATGGGAGCCCAAGAAACCATTGCTGGTGGGAGGAGAGGGGTTGAAATTGTTCTCACTTCTTTTCTCCATAAAGTAGTGCACTGGCCAGCTGTCAAGGCGAGGAAGGCAGTCTAGAGTAGATGGCACGTGAGAAGTAGTGGGCAAGGTTGGCTTAGCCTGGGCCTATGGACGGGGCATCCTTATATGCCTCCTGTCTGTGCTGGGTTTGGTTCCTGACCGTGGGTCAGAGCTGAGCCTGGCAGGCATGGCAGACCACAGCTGAGAGACGGAGTGGAGGCCGTCAGGGGACCAGGCTGGCAGGGTACCTTCTTGCAAATTCGACCCCGTCACTTCTCTATAGAGCTGGTGTGGGCTTCTGCTCCCTCCGAACAAATTCCTTGAGAAGACGCAGGTGGAGGCCTCTCACTGCCTGCCTCCTGCTGACCTTCCTCATTTTATCCCCAGCATCTAAGGCCCCCATCATGGTGCAGAGCCCATCCTTTCCTCAATATCATCGCCGTGGTCTGGCCTTTATCACAGTTGCTTTTCTCCCTCTCCCCTCCCTTCTCTGCCTTGCCAACTATCATTCAAGATCCAGTTTAAATGTAACTTCATTCATCCCACCCACGTCTGGGACGTCTCTTAGGCTGTGGTGCTGCCTCACCCGGACCCACTCTTCCCACCTGGGCACACCTCTGCTTCCGGAAGCCATCTGGACAGTGTGAATGGACTCTTGGGTTTCAGAGTCAAGCAGACTTGTATTTGAATTCTGGTTTATGTGACTTCAGGTGGGTCACATTCTGGTGGAGAGAAGTCTTAATAAGTCTTCTCCTCTGAACCTCAATTTCATCATCTGAAAAGAGGGACAGTGAACTACCTCTCAGCGCTGTTCGCATTGCTGTGGTGGAAAGTCAGCATGCTCCTAGTGCTGCCTGGGTGGTCAGGAGTCTTGGTGGGACATCCTAGCTAAAGAAATCTTTTGAATCAGGACCCACATATTAAATGGTTGTTCTATTTCTCAAGACTCTTTTGCTATGTATCCCCTCTTTTTAATATAGTTGATTTGTTGAAGCCAGGTCGTTTGTCCTATTAAAATTTTCACATTCTAGATTTAGATAATTGCTTCCTTATGGTGTTATTTAATCTGTTCTTCTGTCCCCCTAAGTTCCTATAAACTAGATCCAGTGACTTGATTAGATGCAGGATGATGATGAAGATGATGGTCACTATCACGGCAAGAACATCTCAAAGGTACTACTGCCTGCTTCATACTTACCACAGTTACGTAGGAGACACATGGATCCTGTTGTCCTACTTTGGGTGATGTTAAGTTAGACCACTGGCTTCTTTTCTCTGAGGGAATCTTGGAAATTTGAACATAACCTACATATTCAGTCATGCTAAGAAATTATTGCTAATTTCTTAAATATAATTACATATGGGCCTCCCTGGTGGCACAGCGGTTGAGCGCTGGGTTGTGAAGCTGCCCGTAGCCTCTGCAGCGCCAGTTTGATCCCCAACCTCTGGGTGAGGGTCCCACATGGTGCGCAGACCTCTCCTGCCACCTGCTGCTCCCCTCAGCAGTGTACTTCGTCAGTCTGCCTGTTCTGCTCTCTGCTCTGTCTCTGGTGAATTCTTTCACCCTCCCTCTCTTCTGACTATACCCAGTGCTTGTATAAATAAATAAATAAATATTTAAATATATATATATATATATAATTAAATACTTCATAATGGCATTATGCTTAGGTAAAATAGAAATCCTTATCTGACATGGGTGAGTCTCAAAATATCATGTTGGCTAAAAAAACTCAAATCCATACGGTATAATTTCTCTTATATGGAACATTCTGGAACAGACAAAATTAATCTATACTGAAAGAAAACAGTGATTGCCTGGGGCCAAGGCAGGGGGGCACTGATTACAGAAGTGAATGAGGATACTTTCAGGGGCGATGGAAATATTTTGTATCTTGATTATGGTGGCAACTACATGGATATATACATTTGTCAAAATAGAACCATAGACTTGAAATATTTTATTGTATATAAATAATGTTGTTTTAGAAGGAAATAAAGAGGGCTGGGTAAATCAGGTAAAAGGGGTTCATTGAATGGTGACAGATGGAAATGGACTTTTATTGGTGAACTTAATGTAGTGTATACACATGTTGATTTTTAATAATGCACATCTGAAACTTACAGAATGTCATAATGCAATGTTATTTCAATAAAAAGAGAGAAAAATGAAATAAGGTTACAACTAGAGTAAAAATAATCCATTGGAAATAGCCAGAAAACAATAATGTATCTATGGGGGGGAAGATCTAATGATATATAATACCTTTACAGAGAGACATATAAAATTATAGTAAAAGACATAAAAGAAGACATAAACATATGGAGAAACATACCATAACTTTCATGGACGTAAGTCTTAATAACCGTCTCAAGTTATAAAGTTAATTCTTTTTTTTTTTTTAAACAGACTCTAAGGGGTTTTTCTTTTAAGCCTGTTAGAAGTGAATACTGACTCATTTAAGTTGAAGTGCTGTGACATCTGGGATTTGTTTTAATAGATTTGTTTAATAGATCTATTTGTTTTATTTTATTTTTTTTTTCTCTTTTGAGTAATTTATTAGTTCCAGAGAGAATAGAGAGCCAAATTGCTCTCTTCCTATCAAAAATTCAGTTTTGAGTGTGTGGATGTTCCCTAGAATATACAATATATCAAAACTTCAAAATCATAAAAATGTAACATATTGAAGATTTTTAGCTTTTTAAAATGGAGAATTATTTCTCATATATTTGTTTTTTTTTTTTTAAATATTAAATTTTATTTTTATATTCCCCCATACAATTGCAAACGCCCCATTCTGACCCCAATCCTTCCCCTCCCGCCCCCCACCCCCCAAAAAGTGTCTCTGGTTCATAGTTTTTTGTTGATTTTGATTTTCACTTTCTTATATTCATTTTCCTGGTCCCTTATTTAAGTTTTCTAGATTCCTGCTATGAGTGAGACCAGATCTATTTGTTTTAATAGATTCAAAGAAAATAATGGAGAAGAAGTGACTCAGTAGCCATTGATAATTGTTGAGGCTGGCAGATGCGCATCTCCGGGAGACAGTGAGCAGTGCTGTGCACCTTTCACTGGTGAGAGAACATAATAAGGCCCAGGGGGCAGGAGATGGTGAGCTAAGGTCCTCCTCCATCATGATCTATATAGTCTTTTCAGGGTGGACAGATCAGAGACGGCCTTACAAGCTTTGCAAAGGAGTCTGGACTTGATCCTGTGTTCAGATTTCAGTCCCTCTTTATTGTGTGTTCTGGTACCTTGGAAGGACATCAGGTCCCATCTCCCTCCCCGGAGGGTGTACGAGACCCTTTCAGTTGCAAGCACCAGAAATCCAACTCAAACTTACTGGTTTATGGGGGAAAAGGAACTGATACCTTACGTAACAAGCAAAGGGATTCAGCTTGATCCAGATACTCGACTGAGGTCAAGACTGTCCTCAAATCTTGCTTCTGTAGTCCTCTGTGTGGGCTCATTCTGGCAGCTTTTCCTATATGACAGGGTGGTTGCTACTCCTGCTGGCCTTTCCCCCTATTGGTTAACTAATCCCAGTGGAAAGAGGGCTTTTTTCCAGACTCCAGAGAGTCTGCTTCTGATTTCATAGACTTGGTTCAAGTGCCTATTCTTAAACTGATCAGAACAGCTTGCTCTGACTGGGGAAGCATGGGCCCAGCACCTGCGCTGTACCCACTCAGGGAGGACCAGTGAGAAAAAGTTGGTTCCACAAAGGAAAATGCAGGTGCGGTCACCAGTAATGGGGGGATGGTGAGATGTTGGCCACCCTGCAGGAACTCCCTCCCAGCACCCCTCTCGAGACGCGCAGCCCCTTCTCAGAGGCATGGAGGCCACGTGGCAGGGCCTTCACCACCCACCACCAAACTCACCCTCACTCTTGCGTTCACCGACATCTGCTTCCCTCTAACTTCTGCCACTGGCCTTGCCTCCATCTTCCGCAGCAGCCCCATGCCTGCCGGCCCCATCCTGTGCAGACCAACTAGAAGCTGAAAGCATCACCTCACCTCGCCCACCAGGCCTGTCAGGCTCATGGTCTCCAGGGACACAGCTTCTACGTGCTTCTTCAACATGAAGGTCCCTCACAACCTCGTCCTCTGCTTGGAAAGGAGGCACCCCAGAGCTGAAGGTAGTGTGTCCTCAGGCCCCTCTCTGTAAAACGGAGGTGGTTTCTGCCACCAGGGCGTTGTGGAGATTAAAGGGGTGTGGCGTGTGCATCATGTTAGGACAGTTATTACACCTTCAGCCAGAGGCAGCACTCTGCAGTCCTCGCACACCCCACCCGGTGCTCTCCAGCAGCCGGGTACCACTCAGCCCACTGGATTGTACAACTGGATAATCAGAGGAACATTCTCCCATGCATTGTATCTTTAGAGTCTCCTAACTTTGTGAGGTGGGCAGAATAAATTGGATTTATTCCTCACTCACAGCTGACGAAACAGGTTCAGAGAGGTTAGACCTTTGGCTCAAGATCACACAGCATCAGTGGTGGAGGTAGGATTGGAACCAGTCCCTGGAAGAATCATGTGCCTGGCCTTTGCTCGGCTACCTGCCCAGACCGCCTCAGTCTTGCCTGTGGGCTCTTCCCGCCCTTCCAGGTCCAGCCCAGATGCCGTGTGAACAGCCGCACTGCTGAGTGCCAACAGCACTCCTGCCAGGCCAGGCCCATGCATGGGCTTTCCCTTCCTGTTGAGCTCGTGAAGAAGGTTTCTTTCTTTTTTTTTTTTTTAATAGAGGCATGTTTTATTTATTTATTTGTTTGTTTGTTTGTTTGTTTTGTTTGTTTATACATGCACTGGGTACAGTCAGAAGCGCGGGAGGGTGAGAGAATTCACCAGAGCCAGAGCGGGAGGCAGAGCAGGCAGAAGGACCGAAGTACACTGCTGAGGGGAGCAGCGGGCGGCAGGAGAGGTCTGCGCGCCATGTGGGACCCTCCTCCGGTGGCCGGGGAGCAGCTGGGGATCGAACTGGCGCCGCAGAGGCCGCGGGCAGCTTCGCAACCCAGCACTCAACCGCTGCGCCACTGGGGAGGCCCTCGTGAAGGAGGTTTGACTCTGTTAAACAGGGACAAATTGAGGCTGAGAAGGGTGAAGTGGCCTGTCCAAGGTCACTCGGTAGGAGTGCCAGCCAGTAATCAAAAACTCACAGTGCCCTCTGCCCCTGGAGCAGCCTTTCCTGCCCCCTGCCTCTACCTCCGTGAGGCAGGAGAACGACTCCTCCCTCCTCTGAGCGCCCTGCCTCTGCCTCTTCAGAAGCAGCGCTCTCCTTCCGGTAGGCTTCCTGGAGGGACGGGCCTGATGCATTCAGCCCCCCGCAGACCACTGCCCGAGGAGCCTCTATTATCCATATTACCCCATTTGTTCCCGGCCCCCGCAGGGCAGAGGCGCTCCTAGATGAAGGCTGAGTGCCGCTCCCCAGGCCTCGCGGCCGGAATTGCGGGACCTGGACCAGCCCCTTGGTCTGTGGGTGCAGGTGGGCGCGCGGCTCTCCCTCCTCCCCGCCAGTCGACCACGGGGTGGGGGGTGGAGAGCAGCCCCGGGCCCGGTGGGCGGGCCTGATGGGCGCCTTTCGAGTGTCGGGAAGGGATGGTGAGCAGGCTGGGGGTGGACTGAAGGAGGCAAGACGGAACAGGGTATTTTTGCATTTTGACATTAAGAAAGTGCAGATTAGCTTCGCGGCGCCCGGGCAGCAGCATCTGTTTCTGTTTGGAATTGGCAGAGCCGGGCGCTGAGCGGCGCGGCGGAGGGAGGGAGGACGCGGCGGGCCGGGGAGGTGGTGCTCGGGAGGCCGGGCTCTGCTGGAGAGCTCCGCCCCCAAAGGGGCGCTGCCACCCTAAGGAGGCGGGCGCCGCGCTTCTCATTCATTGTCTTGACAAGAGCATCCTCGGCGTCCGTCCTGGGCTCCTGTAGCTGCTTCCTCCTGCTCCTCCTCCTGCCCGCCCTCCTCCATTTGGGGGTGTCCTTCATCTCGGCAGCAGGTAAGACTGGGCTCCTGGAAAGGGACAAGGCACCCCTGGCCTGGGCCACCTGTGGGGCAGACGTGAGCTTGTGAGAAGCCACTGTGGGGGCGGACAGGCTGTCAGAGCGATGTGGCGCTTGCACGGGGACAGCGCCGGTCCACTCCGAGTGGAGGGGACTCGCGGAGCTGAGGGCGGGCGTGGGAGGGCCCCTCTGTGTGTTGAATAGCTGGGGAGAGAGAAGGGTGAGGGGCCACCGCAGCCAAGATGGAGGTGGGGGAGTGAGGGTCAGGACACACAGGGGCCCTGACTGTCCCCAGAATGGGAATCTTCGGTGATGGTGGAGGTAGGGTGTGATAAGCCAGCAGCTGCTCTCAGCTTGGGGACAGGAAAGGGCTGAGAGCAAAACAAGTTCCCCTTTTAGTGGTTTCCGGGCCTGGTACCTGCAGTGGGGAACGCAGGGTGGGGCAATGGCTTCCTGTCCCCCAATCTCTGGTTTGGGGCTCCCCTCTTCCCAGAGCAGGTTTCTCACCTGGGACCGACCCTCACACCCCCCAGCCCCAAGACTGCTTCTCCTGAGCACATGCGCCTCCGGAGCAAGCAGGGGCTGGGGAACCTTCTGAAGGGTCTAGGATGGGCAAGTGGGCCTGGAGCCCCAGTGAGAAGGGCCAGGCCTAAAAGGGGGCAAATGGGTAAAGCTGGGGAGGGGGAGTACAGGCCCTGTGGAGGTGCCCCCAGCTGGCAGCACTGGCCCTACATTGGGCAGGAGGGGATGCGGTTGGTCGCCTGATCAGGTCCTGGAGTCCGGGGAGCCAGGGTCGATTCCCTGCTCTCCGCTTGCTCTCTGCCCTGCCACCCACCCCAGCTGGACCTCAGAGAAATCAGCCTCTCCCTCCCTGCGTGTAGTTTCAGTGGGAGTGGAGACGGCTCCAGGGCACCTGACCAAGCAGAGGTGAGAGGCAGAGGTGTGGGGCGGAGATACTGGGACCCGAGCCACTGCCTGTTTCTGGTGCCCGGAGACCTGCTGGGGAAGCCACCTTGCTGTTCACAGCCTCCTGGGCAGGTCCACATGCCCAGCCCTCATGCCCAGCCCTGTGCCAGGAAGCGAGGGAGGGCCAGCCTTTAGGGAGGGAGGTCTGGACGCTAAGAGAGAGAGAACCTCCCTTCCCTTCGCTGCCCATCAGCAGAAAGGAAGGGCTGAGCAGGGGCAGTCAATTGGCAGATGGGCACTTGGCTGCCTCCCGCCGGGCTCTGCGCTGGAGGCTGAGTGTACAGAGGGGGGCCTGGGGGCTGGCGGTGGGCTTGCAGGTTAGTGGGGAGTGAGGGCAGGGGAGGCCGCCCTGGGGATATCAGGATGTGTCAGCTACAGAGAAGAGATGATGCTGGGGAAGGTAGCTGAGCCACAAACCCCACCTGGGGCTGAGGTGTGTCCTGGGGGAGAAGGGAGTCGCTGAGAGGTCATAGTTGACCTGAAGGGAGAAGAGGTCTCAACCCCTGCATTCCCCAGGATGAGCCGGCAGGTGGTCCGCTCCAGCAAGTTCCGCCATGTGTTTGGACAGCCGGCCAAGGCCGACCAGTGCTATGAGGACGTGCGTGTCTCACAGACCACCTGGGACAGTGGTTTCTGTGCTGTCAACCCGAAGTTTGTGGCCCTAATCTGTGAGGCCAGCGGGGGAGGGGCCTTCCTGGTGCTGCCCCTGTGCAAGGTGAGTCCCCGGAGCCTGGAGCAGCGGTCCTCCATCCAGCCGCCCCCCTGGTCCAGATTAGGTGCTTGTCACCAAAGCCCTTTGGCAGATGACAAGGGCTGCAGCACTGTCATCTGTAATATGGAGCTGAGTCAGATAAGCCTCGACTTCAGTCAGCTCATACATGCAGCGCCCCTATAAAAACTGAGGCGCAGTGGGAGAGGTTATGAGAGGGGTCACACAGGGAGTCCTACGGTGCCAGAGCCAGGTCTCCCAATCTCAGCCCGGTACTTTCTCCCTCTGGAGCACAGAGAGGGCTAGAATGAGGTCTGGGTAGGCCCAGCAGTGTTCTCGGCTTGGGAGGGACTCTGGTCTGGGCCTGTGTGAGCCCTTGGGAACCCAGGAAGCTCTGGCCCCCAGCTCACAGGGGATGATGATGTAAGAGGTCTCTCCTCCCCATCCCTGCCCTCCTTCTGCTTCTGTTTCCCTCCCTACCTGCTATCTGCTGACCCCCACCCCCAGCACACTCCTGTGCCCTTGATGGGTGAGACAGGAAGAGGAGATGAGTTCTAAGTTGTTACCTTAAAAGGGCCGATGGAAGCAAAGAAAAGAGGAAGTGGTTGTCGGGGTGAGAGCTGGGCCTGCTTTTCACACAGGAAGCCCTACTAAAGCAGCTGTCCCCGGAAGCAGCCATTTCTAAACCTCTGCTCTCGTCTAAGGGCCAGTTACAACAGACTTCCCAGGCCCCCTCCTTTTGCACCAACCCATGCTCACAGCACCATCATTTACACATTCGCCCTTGGGGAACTCACCCCAAGGCAGTCTACTCCCTCAGTTTCTTGGGTGCAGGGCCTTGTAGCCTCTGGTGCCCATGGGAGCCTCAATCTGAGAAGCTGGGGTGAAGGGGGTGAGCTGGCCCTCAGGGAATGGATGAGAGCCTGAGATGGAGACCCAGGATCTCTGCCGGGGTCTGATAGTGAGGTAGCACCAGGACCCGGCATGACCCTGGCGCCCAGCCCCACACCCCATCCTGCCCCTGTGGCCAGCATTCTTGAGTTGCCTAGACAGTTCTGGCCTGGGGCACAGGACAAACTCTCCCACCTAGTGTCTCCTCCCAGAGACTCCACAGTCTTCTCTGTGCCTCACTGAGGGGTATGGGAGGTGGGATTGGGTTTGGAGGGCAAAGCACCTCGGCCTCAACAGCCCTGCTGTGTCCTCTAGACTGGGCGTGTGGACAAGAATGTGCCCATGGTCTGCGGCCACACAGCCCCGGTGCTGGACATTGCCTGGTGCCCACACAATGATAACGTCATTGCCAGTGGTTCTGAGGATTGCACAGTCATGGTAAGTGGGGATGAGGGGGGCTCAGGAGGGGGCAGGAGAGGCTCTGGGACCCAACCTGACATTTACAGCTAAGACTCACTCACCCCCCTTCCCTGCAGGTGTGGGAGATCCCTGACGGGGGCCTCACATTGCCCCTGCGGGAGCCCGTCGTCACTCTGGAGGGCCACACCAAGCGTGTGGGCATCGTGGCCTGGCACCCCACCGCTCAGAATGTGCTGCTCAGTGCAGGTGCCTGGGGGCAGGTGTGAGGGGTGGGCTGGTGCCTGACCAGGAAGGGCAGGAGGCTCATGGCTTCTGACATTGGGGGCATCACCCAGGTTGTGACAACGTGATCCTGGTGTGGGACGTCGGTACTGGGGCGGCCGTGCTGACGCTGGGCGCAGATGTGCACCCGGACACAATCTACAGCGTGGACTGGAGCCGAGACGGAGGCCTCATCTGTACCTCCTGCCGCGATAAGCGCGTGCGCATCATCGAGCCGCGCAAAGGCACTATTGTAGCTGTGAGTGCCCATGAACCCCTATCCTGCGACCACTGCCCGCCTACCCACCACCAACCATGCCCCTAGTAGCTGCCCCCCAACTGGAGTCTGGCCCTGGTGTGGGGGGGGCGCTGACCGTCCACCTCCCTGTCCTTCCAGGAGAAGGACCGGCCCCATGAGGGTACTCGGCCGGTGCGCGCTGTGTTTGTGTCAGATGGAAAGATCCTGACCACCGGCTTCAGTCGCATGAGTGAGCGGCAGGTGGCGCTGTGGGACACGGTGAGTGCGGCGCCGGGAGCAGGGAATCAGGTTGGAGAGTCTGGCCCTATTGCCAGACTATTGGGCCAAACTCTTGTCCGGCCCTATTGCCAAGGGTCACAGTTTACCTACCATGAGGTGGGGGTTTCTGTCAGTTGATCTGTGAGCCCCCCACCCTGGTCACTACTCAGTGACAAGCACCACCCACAGGCCTGACATAGTCCAGCTCACTGTTACTTCCCGCCCGCCTCTGCAGAAGCACCTGGAAGAGCCGCTGTCCCTGCAGGAGCTGGACACGAGCAGCGGCGTCCTGCTGCCCTTCTTTGACCCGGACACCAACATTGTCTACCTCTGTGGCAAGGTGGCCTACTCAGGCATGGGTTTATGGTGGGAAGGTGGGGGTGGGGTTGCTTGGAAAGGCCCACAGCTGGAGGCTTCTGATCGTCCCTTTGCATTCCACCTGCAGGGTGACAGCTCTATCCGTTACTTTGAGATCACTTCCGAGGCCCCCTTCCTGCACTATCTCTCCATGTTCAGTTCCAAGGAGTCCCAGCGTGGCATGGGCTACATGCCCAAACGCGGCCTGGAGGTGAACAAGTGTGAGATTGCCAGGTGACTGACCCTCACTCTGACCTGAGCTTGCGCGCTCCCTGCTCACCCCTGGCCCAGCCATGCTGTGGGCGCTGCTCACCTCCCTGTTTCCACAGATTCTACAAGCTGCATGAGCGGAGATGTGAACCCATTGCCATGACAGTGCCTAGGAAGGTGAGAGTTCTGCACCCTTCTGGACTCCAGGCTGGTCGCTAACCTGGGGGCGTTGCAGGGTGGCCGTGTGGCCTGACCACTCTCTTAACCAATCTTGGCCTTATCCACAGTCGGACCTGTTCCAGGAAGACCTTTACCCACCCACTGCAGGGCCTGACGCTGCCCTCACTGCTGAGGAGTGGCTGGGGGGTCGGGATGCAGGACCCCTCCTCATTTCCCTCAAGGATGGCTACGTACCCCCCAAAAGCCGGGAGCTGAGAGTGAACCGGGGTCTGGACACAGGGCGCAGGAAGACAGCGCCAGAGGCCAGTGGCACTCTAAGCTCGGTGAGAGGCAGATGGGAACAGAATCAAAAGGAGAGACGGGGCCGGGCTGGGAGCATTGATACAGCCGTCATCCCAGGGAAGGAGATCAGTGTCTGGAACACCCTAAACTCACAATGCTGGGATTCCTTTGGGGACCAGGAGTGGGCAATCCTGGGGCCTCAGAAAAGAGTTCCAGGCCTACAGGTCTGTAATTATCTGGGCAGCAACTGGTGGAGAGACATAAGGGTCCAGGCCTTGGGCTCTTAGAAAGAGGCTTAAGGGATGCCAGGGAAAGGGGGAGCCTTGGGTTGGAGCTGGGGCTTAATAAAGTGCTGGATCCCCTAGGATGCTGTATCCCGGCTGGAGGAAGAGATAAGGAAGCTCCAGGCCACAGTGCAGGAGCTGCAGAAACGACTGGAGAGACTGGAGGAGACGGTCCAGGCCAAGTAAAGGCCCCAGGGCCTTCAGCTGGAACCAACAGCATCCCTCCCCCGACTCCCACTTTACTCTTCAGACTGCCATTACTCATAAAGAAATAATAATAATAAAATGGCTTTATTTTCTGGTACCTCTCAGACTCTGAAGACTGGTCACCTGAACTGACCTGCCCTTGAGCTTCCCACTAGGTAGCCTTGAAGGGATTGCCATTTGGCAGGGGCTAAGGGACACCCCCAAAGGCCCTAGACTGCAGAACAGGTCTCGGTAGGCAGGGCTTGCCCCATGAGCTCGTGGGTTTGGAGTCTGCTGTTTCCCAGCTTCTTCTCAGGGCGAGTAGGTCTGAGCTACTCAAGCATCTAACCTGGCACTCTGTAATCCCGTGTTTACCCAGAGCCGCCTTCCCTGGACAGCCACCACATCAGGTTGCATGCAGATGGCCTGACCGGGTTGTTTGTGGGGAAATGAAGCACTAGCACTCACATGACTTTCAAACTGTCATGTTTCATCTTTCAAACTAGGCGCAAGGGATCAAAATAAGGGGAGGTTTTGTGAGATAAATCTCAGCACCAAAGCAGCCAGCTAACCCTCGTTTACAGGAGATGGAGGCACAGCCTGGAAAGGGGTTGCTGAGGGCAGATCCTGAGTCCTCCCTCCCCTGCTAGAGCAGAGCCCTCCCCCAGTGCTGCTACCTCTATGAGAGTGGGACCCACACAACTGCTAGGCCCAACAGAGCGGGCCTCGGAGGGGCTTTCCAGTGCCAGCTGAGCAGGTAAACTGCTAAGGTCCAAAGTCCCTATCTGCCCATCTGAGTTTTGCCCTCTCCACAAGCCACGTGACCCTGGGCAACTCACTTCTCTCCAAGCCTCCGAGCCCACCTGTAAAATGGGCAGGAATACCAATGTCACATATGGTAAGTGGATCCAGTCAGGGTGTGGACGAGAGAATCGGAAAAGCAGGACCTGACTTCTTAAAGAGGTTCCTTCTCCAAGCCTCTACTGCTCTGTGGGGAGGATGGGCCCTTCAGGGTCTAGTAGGCTCAGTCATGACTTCTCCTGGCCCAGGGGACTGAGAAACAAAAACTCAGGAGAGGATCCCAGAACCCAGAAGGGTTAAGTGGTCATCACCATGACATCAGCGTCACCAGCTCATTCTCCCTCTGATGGGAACAAGAGAGGGAGGTGAGGTGGAGGTAATTTAGAGGCCAAGAAACTGACCTTGAAAACACTGGAGAACAGGGTAGGTGGGATGGCTGAAACCTGCAATTTCTCATTCCCAAAGGGCTCTGGTTCTAACTGGCTGTCACTTGCTGTCGCTCCTGGGTCTTGGGGACCTCACCTGTGCAAGTCCTCACCACCCCGGCACCTGTGTCTCAGATGGGTACTAGGAGCGATCATGTCTGAGTGGCAGGTGGTGGGGGCCAGGGAGGTGTGTGCTGTGGACGTGATGCTTCAGGGTCAGAGTCTCTGTGAGATGTGAGGGTGTAAACCCGCCCCTGACATCTGGGCCTGTGGCGCTGGCTCCGATTGTGTAGGCGAGGCCCAGTTTGTGTTATTGTGTGTGTGTGAGGACAAACCATTGTTTTGTGGGGCACACTAGCTTTGTGGGATGTGCCCTTATATGTGAGTGTGGGGGAACCAGTGGTTTTGTATGTGTGGTTGTTCACAATGATGCTTTAGCTGTGGCTGCTTTTGCCCAATGGCAGAATTGAGTAGTTGCAACAAAACCCAAATGCCCCACAAATCCTAAAATCTTTACTGTCTGACCCTTTAGACCCCAGTTTTGGGGATTCTATACTTGTGGGGGTGACCACAGATATAGTAAATGTATGTATGTGTGTGGTGGGGGGAACAAAATTGCCACCCCCCAAATATGTCTCTTTGGCATAAGGATCATTTCATAGGCGGGCTCTGAAGGCTGGATGGTGCTGCCCTTTTGTAAGAGACATTCATGTGTGTAAAAGAAAAGGCCCCTTTGTAGGGGCGTCTCCTCACTGCACCAGGAAGACTAAATGTCTTCAACTTTTAACAACAGCGCAGAGAAGGCAGCAACTTAAATCTGCATAATGGTCATGCCCTTACTACCCTTGTTGGCTGTGCCTTTCCCGGCGACCTCCCACGGCTGACCCCCAATGTCCTTTGTCTTTGACTGGAGTTACTTGAAGAGATGACTTACGTCATTTTGCTGGGTGGGCTATTCAGTTATACAGCAGAGATACATGTTGTCATTTAGCTACTCTTTGGGATCTTGATTTTATTTTGGTGATTTACCAGCCAAGCAGAACCCTGAGGGGACTCACCCTCCCTCCCCCACACACAGAAGCTACCCTTTGTGGAACTGAGTGCTGTACGTGTGGCCCAGTCTTTATGGGTGTGTACGGGGAGAACACTGTGACCGTGTGTATCCTTGTGTGTGTTAAGACCCAATTTTTCTATTTTTGTAGGTGTCTGTATATACAATTGTGACTCCAATTCTAGTGAATCCCCACCATTAAGTAACTGGCCAACACTGGGTATCCTGTAGTGCATATTTGAACATTGTCTAGCTGGCCATAGCATCAGATCCCACAGGTTGAGGACTCAGCCCCCAAGAGGGTCCACCTCATCTTCAGATGCCAAATGCAAGTCCAGGTTATTGTCACCTGTGCTTCCGACCTCCCTGCTAGGGATGGATTGGAGGTTTCAATGGCCCTCCCCCCCAGCTAGGCCTTCTTAATGTGTTAGAGCGGCTGATAGAACCAGAAATTTTACGTACTTGAATTATTATAAAAGAATGTAAGTCATGAACAGTCTGATGGAAGATGTGGGGGGCAAGGTATATGGGAAGAGGCAGGTGACCAAACTTGGGTCTTTGGCTCATGACCCAGAAAGCCAAACTCTGACCCATAAGAATAGTCTACCTTTTCAGAGTTTATTCGAGGTGGCCACCAAGGGAGTCAGTGGAATTGACACCCTTCAAAGACCAGTTCCCCAAATGGTGGGAGTGCTGTGATTCTGTAAGGGGTGGGAGGAAAGCGAGGGGGTGCAGAATGTAAAGGAATTGAGGCCTTTGAGTTTCTCAGTGTGGAGGTGTGGGCAGTATAGACGTCTTGGGGTTTCAGCTTGGTGGGTGGGAGATTGTCTCCTCGGCCATCATGTGACAGCTGTCAGCAGAAGTTCCTTTTAATGTTACTATCAACCTTGAGGATGTAAGAATCAATTTTTCAAGTTCCTGGGAATGCAGCTGCACAGACAGGCATTGCCTGCAAGTTGGAGGAGGGTGGGAAGAGAGAACCCAGGTGGTTAGTTTAATTCCACTTAGTCTCAGTTTTTAGTCTACGGGAGCTTTTGCTAAAAATGGAGGAGGCCTGGCTATAAAGTGGCTCAGATCTCCCCTGCCCTCTGAGCACACAACTCTCCCAGCACCTCCACATGTTCACCTGCCCCGAAGCTCTCTGAAACCCATACTTCTGGGGTTTCATTACACAGCCAGGACTGAATCCTTGGCCGTCAGTGACAGCTCAGCCTCCACTCTCTCCTCTCCCCAGAGGTCTGGGCGTGGGACTGAAAGTTCCCTGGAATCTCTAGATTTGGTTCCCCTAGCAACCAGCCTCCACCCTCAGGCCACCTAGGGGCTTTCTTTAAATCACTTCAGTAACAAAAGACGCCTTTTCTTTCTTTTCACTTATAAAATGTCAAGGATTTTAGGAGCTCCGTGCCAGGGAAGAAAAAACTCCTATTTTCATAAATCACATTTTCACAGCCTGTGTGAAGGGGAAACCCAGGGTTTGTTGGTTGCACCAGGGCAACCCTGTGAGTGCGTGTATTTCTGGAACTAGGTATTGGGAGTGGGATGAGGGAGGTTTTGGTTTCCCAATGCTGTGACTCGGTAGTGGTAATCATCAAATAGCAGCCAACAGGTATCATGAACTAGGACTTTCACCATGACCACCACCACCACTATCAACACTACCTACACCTCCAGCGCCAACACCAGTACTACTACCACCACCACGACCACCATTACTAGCAGTTCGCGCTTACGGATGGCTGTCCTCAGTCAAAAGTGATTTTCCATTTTGAGGTTTTATCCTTTTAACCCTCCTCTGGTTCTTCTTGTGAAGAGATGACGTAAGTGGAGCTATTTTAAGATGGGTCCAGAGATGACACCACAGAAAACCACTTTGCTCTCCTGTTTGAATTGGGCCACTAGCATTTTTTTTTTTTTTTTTTTTGTGGGACCCTCGCCGGCGGCCGGGGGAACGAACCGAACCGGCACTGCAGAGGCTGCGGGCAGCTCACAGCCCAGCGCTCAACTGCTGCGCCACCAGGGGAGGCCCCACAAACAATTGTTTTAAGAATAAACCATCACGCAAACAACTGCTCAAGCATTCATTCCTACCTTGGGACTGAGGCTAACGACATTTTTTTTTTTTTTTTGCCAGAGGATAGAATCAGTAACCAATTATGTACAGCCAAGAAAAGTTTAAACTTGTTAATACTAATTTACTTTTTTTTTTTTACTCTCCAAAAGGGCAGGTTTATTATTTTAAAAACAGGGGGTGAGGGAGGGAGGGGTGCTTGCACAGACACCAGCAGGCACAAAGAGCTGCTCCTGAGAGGGACAGGTTTGTTGAAAGAGATGCCTGTGGGAGGGCAGTCACAGGCCGGCAGCCTTGGGAGGAGGTGCCTCCGCTATGCGAAGAGAGAAGTTCAATGAAGAGAAACCCCTGCATGTTTTCTTAGACAACCTCCCGAGTGTCATTCTTTCTGTGTCTAGGGAGACTTTTGTGGGAAAGGTTGGGAAGTTCTGGTTCAGGAAAAAGCTTTATGCAGCCAGAGACCTCATAGCCACAGACCAGCGTGCTGGAGGCCAGATGTCTGAATCCTCATCGGCCTATTTTGCTTGGCATCTGAGAGACAGCCTTCCCTGACAGACCCCAGAACTGTCTAAGGCAGTTTGTCCCAGAACCAGGCCTCGTCTTTGATTCAGTTAGCTCCCAGCTGGCCTCATGACCACTGCTGACGTCTTGAAGTTCATCTGCTGTCTGGGAAGGTGCTTTTCCCCTAGGAAGTCTCTGCGGGGTGGGTACCCACAGGCCTAGGGGAGGTGAGGAATCAGAGTCTCCAGCGTCATGTTTTGGGGAGCTGCAAACCTACCTGCAGAAAGACCTGCTGCTGTGCTGGAGGCTGTGCTTGAAGATTGTTGCAGGTGAGCCAATGAGTCGTGCTTGGGGCTAGGTTTATCATGGGGCCTGGGGATTGTGTTACTGGACGAGACCAAGTATGGGGTTTATTCAAAGTGTGGTGGTTTGCCTGTGTGTGACTGTAGCTGGTGTGCACATGAATATAAGGCTTCATTGCTTCTCCAATGGAGCCAATGCTGTTCCCCCTTTAACAGAGGGGGAGAGAGGGGCCCTGGGCCACATTTAAATCCAGGTTGCCAGCCTTGGATTTACAGGGCCTTGTAATAGGGTGGCTCTCACCTGAATGCACTCTCCAATCTGCCCTCTCTTCTGCTGACTCCTAATAAGCCCCCTTTGTTGTTGCAATTCTGATTGCCTTTGTTTGCAGTTAAGCTCTGGGATTGTGACAGTGTAGCTGTGGCACTCCGTGGGGCTGCGGGTGGCCATATGTGCTGGGTGCTCAGCTGGAAATGTAGGCCTTTAGCAGCAGATGCCCCGAGATAGTTCCCTTGTTTCCGGAGTTGACAGAGTTCAGTTTGTGTGGGAAGAGTCCCCTGTGCTTTGCGTATGTCACAAAAAGGGCTGGGTTGCTCTTGGGTTCATTACGCCCTCATTACTGTGGCCTGACATTAAGAAGATAGTGAGATTTAGTTTCTGGTGCAAGTATTCCACTCTGCTGTTGCCCAAAAGTGGCCATAGAAGGGCCTCCCCAGTGGTGCAGCGGGTTGAGTGCAGTGCTGTGAAGGTGTCCACAGCTTCTGCAGTGCAGGGTTCGATTCCCCGCCAGCCAGGGAGATTCCCACATGGCGTGGCAGACCTCTCCTGTTGCGCCCGCTGCTCCCCTCAGCAGTGTATTTCAGTACATCTGCCTCTTCTGTTCCCCACTCTCTCTGGTGAATCCTCTCACCCTCCCACGCCTCTGGCCTGTAATCCTGCTATTGTACAAATAAAATAAATCTTCACCAAAAAAAAAAGTGGCCATAGAAAATACATAAATTAGTCCATGTTCCAAAAGACTGGAAAACAGATTTGGCCCACAATCCCTGGACTAAGAGTCAGACTTCTCGGCACCTTAGTCCCTAGGGGAAAATGTCCTCATCCGTTTCCTGAATACTCGGTTGAGTGAAGACTGAGTGAGGGAACAGGGAAGAACCACTGTGTGCTCAGTATTTCCTTCACTACCTCGTGAAGTTACCACCTCATAAAACACTTGGCCTCATTTTACAGGTGAGGAAAATGAGGCTGTGCAAGAACCACGCAGTGATCCCACACCGTCTCCCAACAGGCGCTGCTGTTAGGAGAAAAGACTTGACCCAACAGTGATCAGTGCTCAGAAGTTATGAGGTCTGGACCCGCGGGTGCCGACTCCAGTTGCACCTGAGGACCACTTGGAGACCTTATAAAATACTGACATCTGGGCCTCCCCCTGTAGATCCTCATTCAGTTGTTCTAGGTGTGTGGCCCAGGGATGGGTAGCTTGAAAGAGGTCCCAGGGGACTCTACGTGTGTGCAGCCAAGGTTGAGAACCAGGGGCCTAGAGCTGCCTGTGCTGTCCAAGATGGTGGCCTTAGTCACATGTGGCTTTTAGTATTAGTTAAAACTAAAGGAAACATTCCTCATTTGCACGCTTCACATCCCACATCAATAGCCTCATGTGGCGGCCGGCGGCCATGCTGAGCAGGGCAGGCATAGGATATTCCATCCCAGCAGAAAGTTCTGTTGGATAGTGTTGACCTGGGAGGAAGAACTCCGCATTACAATTCAGTTGAACTGGCTTCTAGGTCAGGTCCTGTATCCCCTTGGCTCTTTTCTTGGGGGGCTGGGGAAAGGGGTACTGGCAGGCACAGTGTGTTTTAATACTCATAATTGAACTAAGACTTTCACGTCAGCCCTGCCCACCCCTACTTCCTTTACTCTGATCTGACTGAAGGAGGAGCCGGCAGCATCGGCAGGGGCAGCCTTTTATCTGTGGCACTGCTTACTACAACCCCGAACTTTCTTTTACTCACGCCCGAGATGAGTTTTCCATGCCTGGTCCTTCACATATTATCTAAGACCTACTTGTCTTTGTCTTCCCACCCAAACCTTTAGAGAGCAGGGCCCTCGCCTGTCCTGTTGTCCGGTGCCTGTGAGCCTCACGGAGGTGAGGACGGCCCCAGCCACCTGTCCCTGCCAACAAGGCAGCCCCTTGTCTGCCTCCCCCAGACACCTCACTTCTGAAGGTGGAGACCTGGGCTCAGGCGGCTTAGAGACAAGAAGGCCCTCGGTTTGTCTCTGAATTGGGGCCCCTCTCCCCAGAGCCTCATGGCCTCTGTGATCTTTGTTCCCTCCAGGAAGCTTTTTCTCAAGTATTCACCATCTGGTTCCCTCATATTTTACGGGAACGACCAGCTGACATCTCCTAGGCCCGTACCAGGCACACAGAGGGCTACTCTAAGTATTAAAGCCGAGCTTGGGTGGGCACTGGACTTAAGGGGTCTGGGTTGCCTTTGCCGGGTTACTTCTTAGTCAGCACCAGGAACCCCCAGTACATGCTGCTGCTCACTTCATGTCATGTCTTGAGATAAGCACTGGAAGTGGACATTTCTCACATCATCCTCCAACCGCCCCATGCGTGGGCACTGACATTAGCTCGGTTTTGTGCTGTGAGAAGACCCAGGGGTATAGTCATTGTCACTGAACAATAGGGATCCATTCTGAGAAATGCTTCAATAGGCGATTTTGTGGTTGTGCGGATGTCATGGTGTAATCACACGTATCTCAGTGGTTGAGTTCAACGCACGTGCGGGCTGTGGCAGAGCCCATTGGGACCACGGTGGTATATGTGACCTGCCAATCACAATGTCACTATGTGGCACTATTTTACGTGTGTTTCTGTGCACATGATGCTTCCTCAGCCTACTATATGGACTTGCCCAAAGGAAACAATGACCAGTAGAGCGGCAAGAAGAGGCCAGGCCCTAGACACAGCCCAGCGCCCCTCCCATTCTCCCACACACAACAGAGTGACACAGAGGCTGGCCCTGATTCATAATTTAATGGCTGTGCAGGTCTCGGCCCCTTATTTCTGCTGCTCACGGGCCCACTGCGCTGGGGTCAGGGTTTTCTGCTCAAAGGCATGGATGTGCGGGAGCTCTTCCGATAGACAAGCGTTTACCAGCCTGGGGTGAGAGATGGGGTTAGGAAAAGGCAGGGTAGGGTCTAGGGTGCAGTCACGAACCTAGGGTGAACACGGAGACTGTTGGGGTCTCCCAGGTCGTAATGACCTGGGAACGAGATGGGTGGAGGTTCTAAGTCTGACCAAAGCAGGGACCACGAAGGTAGGATCCTCGTGTTTGTGGCCCAAGGTGCTGGGCCTTGGCGGGGGTGAGGGTGTTACAGTCAGACTGGGGTCCCGAGGCTGGGACTGCACTGAGGGGGGGGTTCCTGGGGTCTCACCGGTGTCTCTGAAGCAGTGGTTTGCCTTCAAACTTGACCGACACTACCAGGACTCGGAAGCTAGATGCGCAACGGTTGGGAGTCGTGTCCTCCACTTCCTATGGGGCAGAAAGGCGTGGATGGTAACAATCTGCCCCCTCAGGAACGCTTTTCCTTTCGTGGAGTGAATTCAGGCCGCTCAACTTACCACGTGCTCCGCCTCCAGGTCTCGCTGCAGCTTCTCCCGGAGGTACTCCGCACTGAGTTCCATCGCGGCGGCCGGGGGCGACAGCCCAGGGGGTGGAACCCCTACTCCTACCCGTCCACACTGCTTCCGCCCTTACTGGAGCCACTTCCGCTGAGGAAGCTACTTCCGCCCTTACTAGGCAGTCCGTACACCCGGCACTTCCGCCCTCACACGAGCCCGGTTTCCAACGGTCCGGGGCTTCGCGCTTATCGTCAGGCAGCGGGTCCGCCTGTGCATGGGCCGAGTCGACGCCAGTTGTCGCCCGCCGCCGGCACAGCAGCCTGGCTTGGGCGCCCTAGCTGCAGCCAGGAGTGGGTGCAGGAATCTGCATCGCTGCGGCCTCCAGGGTACCTCGGGATCGCCCCCTAGCACTTCCTCCAAGACTAGCGTCTTGCGGCCATAGCAACCAGCCCTCGCGACGGGCCGCAGCAATCGATCAAACCGCAGCTGCGGCCCTCGGCCCCCGAGTCTCCATGGGCCCCGCGGGGGACGCGGGGGGCCCCGGGCGCTTCCTCGGCGTCTATCTGCTCTACTGCCTGAACCCCCGGCACCGGGGGCGCGTCTACGTGGGCTTCACCGTTAACCCCGCGCGGCGCGTCCAGCAGCACAACGCGGGCCGCAAGAAGGGCGGGGCCTGGCGGACCAGCGGGCGCGGGCCGTGGTGAGAGCGGGCGGCCGCCGTCGGGAGCAGCGCTCGGGGCGCGGGAGCCGGGCGGGCCGGCGGGCGGGCGGGCGGCGGGGGCGGGCCCGGGGTCTGGGCGCCGGCTCAGGGGCGGGGCCTCGTGGGGAGGCGGCGCCCTGGACACACCCCGCGGGCCCCGCGGCGCCGGGAGGGGGCGCTGCAGGTCTGGGCTCGGTCCGGGACGGTGGGCGAGGCCGGGCCGCGAGAGGGAGCGCCTGGCAGGGGCCCGAGCTGAGCAGCGCGGCTCTTACCTGCCGCTGGAGGCGCGCACCTGTGGCCGGGGTGGGCCGGTGCCAGCGGCCCACCCTCACGAAGGGGGCAGGGCCGGGGCTCGGCGTGAGGCCGGGTTTGAGTCCACCTTCCCCGAGGCCTGGAGCTGAACCAGGGCAGAGGGGTTCGGCTTGACCCGGGGTGGGGCGGGAGACTCAGCGCCCCTCGTTCTCTTCCCCAGGGAAATGGTGCTCGTGGTCCACGGCTTCCCCTCCGCCGTGGCCGCCCTTCGGGTAAGAAGATGGGGGGCGGGAGCACCGGCTGACGCTCGGCCCGGGCCCCCTCCCGGCAGGGCCCTGAGACCCTTTCCTCTCTGCTCGCAGTTCGAGTGGGCCTGGCAGCACCCGCACGCCTCGCGCCGCCTGGCGCACGTGGGCCCGCGCCGGCGGGGCGAGGCCGCCTTCGCGTTCCACCTGCGGGTGCTGGCGCACATGCTGCGCGCGCCGCCCTGGGCGCGCCTCCCGCTGACGCTGCGCTGGCTGCGCCCCGACTTCCGCCAGGACCTGTCCCCGCCGCCGCCGCCCCACGTGCCGCTGACCTTCGGGCCCCCGCCGCCCGCCGCCCCGCGGTGCCACGCCCGGCCCGCCGCGGACCCGGACGCCCCGGCCCTCTGCGCCCTGTGCGCGCGCGCGCTCCAGGTCGGCGGGTGTCCAGCGCGCAGACGACTTAGCATCAGGCCGCCCCACGGGCACCTGCGCCCTGCCCGGCGCTCTGAATGGGGAGGACAGGGGAGCTGACGGCCGCTGTCTCTTCTCGGGGCTTTGCCCTTCCGCTCTGACTGGAAAAAATTGCAATTTCATGTGCGCTTCCCTGCCTCTCCCCCACCCCCAACATTAAGGCTATTATCTGACACACATATATATATATATATTTTAAAGAAATGTTTATTTATTTATACAAGCACTGGGTACAGTCAGAAGCGCGGGAGGGTGAGAGAATTCACCAGAGCCAGAGCGGGGAGCAGAGCAGGCAGAAGGACCGAAGTACACTGCTGGGGGGAGCAGCGGGCGGCAGGAGAGGGCTGCGCGCCATGTGGGACCCTCCTCCGGTGGCCGGGGAGCAGCCGGGGATCGAACCGGCGTCTCAGAGGCCGCGGGCAGCTTCGCAACCCAGCGCTCAACCGCTGCGCCACCGGGGAGGGTAGCTCTTGTTCACTGTGTAGAGCCGACCGAGTCTGGTACACAGCAGATGGCCAGTAACTCTTTAATAAATGAACAGGGGATGCACCTGACTTCTGCTCAGTACATGTAAATAAGGTGGGTGCTCACCAGAGCTCAAGTAACCCACCTGCTATCACTTAGCCCCAAGGAACTCTGGCTCTGGCTGTAGTGGTCAGGATCACTGCAAAGGCTCAGAGAAAACTGTCCAGCTTAGTCCCTGTGGGCAAATATTGTACCCTCTCTGTGCCTCAATTTCCTCCTCTGTAAAATGTAACTCGGTGTCCATGTTCTGTTGAGTTATTTTATGTAAAGCCCCCGGAACTGTGCCTGATCCATAGAAATTCCCTGAATGTTAGCTACATCATTATGCCCCATTTTCTCTCTTGCCTGCCACCTGTGACAGGATGAAGAGGGCCCCCTGTGTTGCCCACACCCTGGCTGCACCCTGAGGGCCCACATTATCTGCCTGGCAGAGGAGTTCTTGCAGGAGGAACCAGGGCAGCTTCTGCCCCTAGAGGGCCAATGCCCTGGGTGAGTCTAACCCCCAAGTCCAGTCTGGTATAGCTCGGGAGAGATTGTGGGTGCCCAGCTGTCCAAGTCCAGGCCTGGGGCAGCTGGGGATGGGCCTCATCTTGGCACCTAGGCCTAGCCTGAAAGGAGGCTTATGAAGCCTGACTCTGTGTCTCCTACTAACTGCACTCCTGGTAGCTGTAAGAACTCACTGCTCTGGGGAGACCTGATCTGGCTGAGCAGGATGGGTGCTGAGGAGGAAGAGGAAGACTTGGAATCAGAAGAGGTGAGCAGTGTCTTTGACCCCAGCCTTCCTAACCCACCTCATCCCCTAGGCTCCCTGTGACCCGCCCTCTTGTCTCTACAGGAACACTGGACAGACATGCTGGAGACCTGATCCCCACTCTCCCCACCCTGCCCCCTCCCATTCCTTTTCTGTGCCACCCACTGTGGGTTTGGGCATTTTTACTTGATTACAATAAAGACTGAGTTAAGGGTACCTTCTGGTGTTTGATGGGCATGGAGTTATGAAGCAGAGGCCTTGAGCACGCGGGAGGGGCCACTGGCCCAGCTTGGACCTGTGTCTCCTCTGCCCAGAAGCCTCTTGCTCGGTGTCCCCCATGGTGCCTCTGAAGTCACAATTCTTTGAGGTTTTGGGAGACTGACACCTGACTCAAGTGTTCACCTGTCTCTGATGCCCATTTGACTTTGAACTTTAATCTAGATACTAGGGACAAAGGTCAAGGAAGGGGTGGGGGCATGCCCTCCTTGCATGGGGCCCTGACTCCTGAGTCCATTGCGAACCCAGGGAAAGAGCACTCTCTTCCAGGGGCATTCTTTCTCTACCCATGAGGCTCCACGCTGTTACAAGGGGGCCGAGGAACTGGGCTCCTTCCCCCAGCACCAGCTGCCTCACCAGGAGCCTGCCCTGCTCTGCTCCGCCCCCAGCCACTTCACTGACCATCTGTGTGGCTCCGGACAGACGGCCGGTGGTCAAAGCCAGCCTTCCTGAATTGCCTGGGCTGTCGGGCCCCGCAGCCAGCGGGAGGTGAGTGGGCTTGCCCATGCCAGCTTGTGAATGTTCACCTTTCCTGTCCACGCCTCTGACCTCTTGGGGCTGGGTCAGTTAGAAAAGGCCTGCCCTGCTGGGGTGGAGTTCAGAAGGCAGGCAGGAGCCAGATTACAGCTCAGAAAAGAACAAAAAAACCCCTTGGGACCCTTTTGTCTGATTTCAATCTTATATTTTCTACACATTAAACCCATATCTTGGCTTTTCGGGTCAGTCTAAGCTTGACTCCAGCTGAGATGCTAAGGAGGGTAGCATAGAAGATCCCCCACCCCACCCCTTCACCCCCACCCCTTCACCCCCACCCCAAACTCCACCCTCTCCTTCCAGGAAGACAGCCAAGTCCCAGCCTGGCTCTAGATCCCTCCCACTTTGGACCTACAAAACCTTCAGCTCAGAGAGCAGCCCTGCATTCCCTGCTCTGCACCCACACCCTGCACCCCAGCGGACTCAGGTCCAAGAGGTGAGGTGAGTTCTAGGGCTGGGTAGGGGAGGACCTGTCTCCCACTGCTAGCTCCTCTCCGCTCTGCTCTGCTCCCGCCCCGACTCCAGCACTTTCCTGGTAGCCGTCCCACCCTGTACTGCGGGCTGCCCCCAGCCTGAATCGGCTCCCCTCTTTTGATGAGTCATCAGTTTTGCTCATTCAACATCAGATTCCCACCGCCCAAAGCTGCTCGGTTGCTCAACTGGATGTTTATCCTCCCCAGGCCGGAATGGAGTGTGGCTGGGCACATGGGATTAAGGATCTGAGGCCTGGCTGGGCCTTGGGAGGTTTTCTCTTTTCTTTTTTTAAAGATTTATTTATTTATTTATTTATACAAGCACTGGGTACAGTCAGAAGCGTGGGAGGGTGAGAGAATTCACCAGAGCCAGAGTGGGGAACAAAACAGGCAGAGTGATGAAGTACACTGCTGAGGGGAGCAGCGGGCGGCAGGAGAGGTCTACGCGCCATGTGGGACCCTCGCCAGTGACCCGGGATTGAACCGGCGTGCAGAGGCTGTGGGCAGCTTCGCAGCCCAGTGCTCAACCACTGCGCCACCAGGGGAGGCCCTTGGGAGGTTTTCATCATGTGAGGGGCCCCAGGAGCCCAAGGAGGAGAGGACAGGAGAGGAACCCCGTGGGAGTGGCAGGAGCCGCAGGCAGTGGATGTAGTAAGAGAAAGAAAACTGGCTGGCAGTGTGGCCAGAGTGTAGTAATTTTCTCAGGTGCACTGGAAAGCCTCCAAAAAACTGTTATCTGGGCCCCAGCCCAGAGGGTGAGAGAACTGTTTGGGGTGTGACCCACATACCTGGGATTTCTAAGGCAATGGAGGTGTCCAGCCGCAGCCAGAGTCACGACGCGCTGTGCTGCACCCACCAGGTTTTGGAATCGGGCTCCACTCACTGGCTGGGTGAGGGTGGGCAGGTCGCTGGGCCTCCCTCAGCTGCAGTTTCCTAATCTTAGAGTGAGACTCCAACAGCTGGCCTTGTTATTAAGGGAAGCAGGCCCCAGCCCAGCCCTGACGCAGCAGCATGGAGCAGGTCCCGGACACCTCCCGCCCGCCACTGGAATACGTGAAGGGGGTCCCTCTCATCAAGTACTTTGCAGAGGCACTGGAGCCCCTGCAGAGCTTCAGAGCCAGGCCGGATGACCTGCTCATCAGCACCTATCCCAAATCCGGTAGGTGAGAGGACCACCCAGCCCATGCCTGAGCTGCGGCCCCTCCCCGGGGCCAGCAGTGGCCTGTCCTCAGCCCTGCCACCTCCCTTCCCCCTTCCTCTCCAGGCACCACCTGGGTGAGTGAGATCCTGGACATGATCTACCAGAACGGCGACTTGGAGAAGTGTCGCAGGGCCCCCATCTTCATGCGGGTGCCCTTTCTTGAGTTCAAGGCTCCAGGGCTTCCCTCAGGTGGGTGAAAGGGCACTGGGCCAAGTGGAGCAGAGAGAGGTGGGGCCTGGGCTCCAGCTCACCAGCCCTGTCCCCACCTCACCACGACTTAGGTATGGAGACTCTGAAAGATGCGCCAGCCCCACGGCTCCTCAAGACGCACTTGCCCCTGGCCCTGGTCCCACAGACGCTGCTGGATCAGAAGGTCAAGGTGAGTGGTAGAGGAAGCCAAGGGAAGGAGGCTGCTGGGGCCATCCCAGCTTTGGCCCTGTCTTCTGGGAAGGTCCCGTTTCCTCCGGCCTCATGTTCTGTGGGGTCAGGTGAGCAGTGAAGGTCAGACCCTGTGTGCAGGGGTGCTCCCACGCCTGTGGGAGGGGCTGCGGAGGTGCTCCCACGCCTGTGGGAGGGGCTGCTGAGAGTCCAGCACACTTTGCTTCACATCTTGGTACAGCGGCATCAAGGGGATTAGATTAGTGTCAAATAGGGCTCCGGGGGCCGGCCAGGATGTTGGCAGCAGAGCAGGGTCCAAACCAGCTCACCTTACCCGTACCCCGGGGCCTGGAGCAGGGCAGCCTCTCAGCCTAGCTCCCCCTTGGCCACAGCAAAGAGAACCGCCCGGCCAGGGTGCGCTGGAAGGCAGAGGGCTGGTGGGTGCCGTGTGCTGATGGTGCCGGGGCGGGGGTCCTCTGCCCCTCCAGGTGATCTACGTTGCCCGCAATGCAAAGGATGTGGCCGTCTCCTATTACCACTTCTACAACATGTGCAAGGTGCACCCTGACCCTGGCAGCTGGGACAACTTCCTGAAGATGTTCATGGCTGGAGAAGGTGGGTCTAGCTGGAGCAAGGAGGCGAGGGGGAGGGGCAGCCTGCTGAAACCAACCACCTCTGCCTGTTCCTCAGTGTCCTACGGGCCCTGGCACCAGCACGTGAAGGAGTGGTGGGAACTGAGCCGCACCCACCCTCTGCTCTATCTCTTCTACGAGGACATGAAGGAGGTGAGGCCACCTGCTGCCACTTCCCTCCATGTCACCTGCAGGGAGGTGGGACCCTCACGGGGACCTGCCAGGGCCCTCTCAGCCCCTTCCTCCAAGGCAGCCCCCACATGAGTTTCCTCGTCCCCCCACTGAGTGTCCCTGCCCAGCACTTAGAGCCATAGTGGCACCTGTACCTCAGGGTGCTGTATGGTTCTCCCCTCCTAGTGCTGAGTCAGCCACCAGCCACCGGGCTGTCACCAATCATCTCTTACTGGGGCATTTCTGAATGAGGCCCAGCCCTGACTTCATCCTTAAGGAAATAAAGGCAGCTTTTTTTTTTTTTTTAAAGATTTATTTTATTTATGCATACAAGAGCAGAGGTGTGGGGGGGTGAGAGGATTCACCAGAAACAGAGTGGGGGAACACTGAAATACACTGCTGAGGGGAGCAGTGGGTGAGACAGGAGAGGCCTGCTGCGCCATGTGGGTCAGCTCCCTGGTCGGGGATGGAACTTATGCTGCAGTGACTGCGGGTAGCTTCATAGTGCAAGACTCAACCCCTTGTACCACCAGGGAGGCCCCGCAGCTTCTTAGAGTGCAGGGCAGACAGTAATGGAATCTGCCCCAGAGGAAGAACAGAGTCCAGGTGTGAGGCATCTCTAAGCTGAAGTGGCCAGATCCCCACAAGGTTAGAGGGCCCTCCTTTCTGTTGGCTGAATGAGCAATCCAAACCTCCACTGAAGAGCTCCTCTGCTGTGCAGAACCCCAAAAGGGAGATTCAAAAGATCCTGAAGTTTTTGGGGCGCTCCCTGCCAGAGGAGATTGTGGATCGCATTGTCCAGCAAACATCTTTCAAGGAGATGAAGAAAAACAGCATGGCCAACTACGACGCCATACCCAATAACATCATGGACCAGAGCATTTCCCACTTCATGAGGAAAGGTGAGTGCCTGCCCGGCTGTGTGTTTGGGGAGCCAAGGGTGGAAACACCTCTGTGCCTGGACCTCCAGCCCCTACTCCTTTCCCCAGGCATCGCCGGGGACTGGAAAAACACCTTCACTGTGGCCCAGAATGAGTGCTTTGACGCTGACTATGCTGAGAAGATGGTGGGCTGCGAGCTCAGCTTCCGCTCAGAGCTGTGAGTGGTGCCTGCCAGGATGGATTCAGAGGGAGGGGTGTGGGGCGAGCCCGGGAACCAGCTCAAGAATAAAGTGCGAGTGGTGGGAAATGGAGAGCCTCTGCTGGCGCTGCGAGCAAACCTGAGCTAGAGTAAATGCCTAGTGGGATGGAATGAAGCCTGCACTTCCTCAGCTTGCCCTCTAGGGGACTGGGAGGAAGGGTCTGGAAAAATAAAACTCAGGAGACAAGGGTGAAGGGCAGAATATTTATTGGCTCACACAGTCTGTTGCATTCCCCCCGGACGGTGGCAGGAGATCTCGTCTGCCAGGTGCTTCACTTTTTCTTGGGCTCCTTGCACGCCACCACGTACCTCTGGGCCACATTGAGCGGGGGGGAGTAGCCGTCTGCATAGGAGGTATCTTCAAACAGGACTGAATAGTCATCCTGGGGCTGTGGCAGGGGCAACGGGAGAGGGTGTTCAGAGAGGCCCTCCCCAAGCCTAGACTGATGCGAGCCCCCAGTGTGTGGGCTCCCCACCTCTTTCCTATCCTCACTCAAGAAGTCTAGACATTTCACTCAGTGCCTGTGGCTGTAAAGGTCTTTGCTCAGTAACAGAGGCCCAATCAGGCCACCAAGCAGGAAGCAGGGTGACCAGAGACCTCCATGGTGAGCCCCGGCTGGAGTCTGGTGCCTTGCAAGCACCTGTGTGCAAGGGATCAAGGATAACCCAGAGGCCAGCGGGTGGGGACCATGAAGCAGAGGAGAGATCAACCTTTAACCTGCTTCTTGGGTGGTGGGGACCAGTCATGTCCTCAGAGCACGACGGAAAGCAGCCCTGGGCCAGGAGCGGCGCGGGAGCTGCTGCCCACCTCAGTGCAAAAGTGAGGCTGGACCAGAGGCAAACCAGGTCCCTTCCAGTCAGCACTTGCTAAGGCTGAGGTGGCGCTGCCCTAGAGGACAGGGCTGCAGTGGTGTGACAGGGCAGATTGTAAGCAGAAGAGGAAGGCCAACTCACAGGCCCCTCCTTGCTCAGCTAAGATGAGGTCAAGAGGGGCCAGTGGGAAGATGCCCCCATGACTGGTCAGCCTGTTCTTGGTGTCGCAGGTGATCTCTCCCCGCGAGAGAGTGGGTGAGGGTTGCCTCACCCGCTGTGGAGGCGTGTGGATCAGGGCACGGTAGAAGCAGGTGGTCTGGGGGTACAGGGCCAGCACGAGCTGCTCCTTCTGGAATAAGGCTTCAGGGTCCGTCTCAGGGTTGGCCTTCCACTGGGGCAGAGGGATGATGCGCCGCCGGCTCAGGGTGTGTCTCCTGGAGGAGGTCTTAGGTCAACTGGTGGCCAAGATGGGGACACCTTCCCAGCAGCCCAACTACCCCAAGGCGCCCCAACCCTTCCCTGAACAGTACTCACTCTTTGCCTTCTTCATCAATGTCATCTACCTCATACCTATAGATGAACAGAAGAAAAAAGGTGAATATAGGGAGGTGCATGTCCAAGCATGCCGTGGGGCAGGGAGGAGCCCAGGGGGGCTTCCTGCTCACAGGCCACCCTTAGCCCCACCTTGGGGGACCACTTTGCTCATTGTGGAGGGTGAATGCATGGCAGATGTGCTGGTGGGAGGCAGCCCAGGGGCTGGCTGGTCACTCACTTGTTGGTGGCATGGCTGTAACTGACCACCTCGGCCAGGATCCACTGCTCATCCCCATCTACAGCCTTCACCCGGGCAGCCACCTTGTCCCCGGGTTTGGCCACGTAGTCCCCAGAGGCTGGAATGGCCCCACACAGAGGCGGGGGCCTGAGGGTAGAGAAAGTGTTAGTCCCAGTCTCTCCTCACCAGCTCCCCCCGCCCCGGGCCCGCCCTCACTTGTCACCAGGCTTCCCGATCCATAGGGGCAGGGTCATGGCTGACTGCTGCAGCAGGGTCATCAGCACCCCCCGGCGCATGGTCTTCCGAGGGGGCTCCGAGTCATTGTACAGGCCTGCGATCTTGGCCGCTGTGGAAGGAAGTGTGCCCCTGAGGCACCCAGGAAAGGTGCACCCCCAGACCCACTCAGCTCACCTGTCAGAGCAGCCCAGCCTGGATCCCCGCCTTCCCGGTGAGCCCTGGGCCCCCTGGGATCCCTGTCCTTTCCACGGTGAAAGACACTGCCAGGCTGCACTGACAGATTAGTGGGATGTTGGCTTGGTGATTCCCTCAGGGGCAATGAACTAGAACGTGGCAAAGGTGTCTAAAGTGCGGGTCCTATCAGTTCAGTTAGTGGAAATGTCACTGACCTGTATGTATACTTTTGTGTACTTTTCAATTCATGTATGTTGTAACTGAACAAAAGTAAAACAAAAACCAACAACAAAAAACCCAAAACCCCAACAAGTTTTTGATGGGTGAGGAGTTGGCCCACTGAGGGTTCCCTGAGAGGTCAAGACAGGGGGGAAAGCCAGGCAGTGCCAGGAGTTTGTGGCAACATCACTTAAAAGCAGCCGCCCAGGCACCAAGGCGTGGCCTGCACAGAACAGCCCGGCTCTCCGCTCTCGCTGCAGGAAGGAGGCGCAACTACCCAGGCAGTAGAGGGACAGAAACTCGTGGGGCCAGTTCCTGGAGGGCCGCAGGAGAGCTGGGGAGAGGCTCCCCTGAGCCCCGGGAAGGGTCTCCAGTCCTTCCCAGCAATCCGGGCGGGGTTACAGGCTCCCCTGTGGGGGTCAGAGGCTGCTCTCAGGCTCCTGCTCTCCACCTGCTCAATGCGGAACTCCAACTCACCGATCCGCCGCTCTTCCAACAGAGACTTGATTTCCGCGATCTTATCTAGGGCCTTCCGGAGGATGCTGAGGGCGGGGAGAGGGAGAAAGGAGGTCTGGATGAAGCACAAACACTTCCTTCTCTGGTTACAGCGTGGGTACTTCAGACCAATCCTACTGCTGAAAACCATAAACCCTAAGTATGTATTTTTTAATCTTAAAAGCATAAAAGAATTGATGAAATGGTAGGAAACAGCAGGCCATAAGGTTTAAGAGGATCCCTGAAGATAAGCAGAGCTGAGTGAGCTGCCTTTGCCCCAGTGTGACAAATCCTGAAGAATGTTGCCGGGAGCCGGCAGCCCCGAGACCTGGGGAGCAGATGTTAAAACTCAGGATCTGCCCCAGTGAAACATGTGAAAAGAGACACCCAGAGGGATGTGAGAGCTGTCTGGCTCAGAGCAGGGCTCAGCTGAGGATGCTTGATCCTGAAGGGCCGTGGCCACAGGAGGCCTCTGGACTGAGGGCAGGGGGCCAGGAAAGGGCAGCAGCAGACAGTCCTGGCTGGCGGGACGCCTCCTTTAGCCCAGACCTCGGGGGATTTCCCCCAAAGAACACTTCAACACTGTGCGCAAGCAGCACAGACTCCACTGTGGGTCATTTCTCCTCTCCCGTGGCCAAACCCCAGTTCACGCCTCTGGCAAACCTCTGCAAAAGCCCACATGGTTCTGAGGCCTTCCAGCAGGAAGAGGGAGACACTTGAGAACACGACATCGCAGAAGGTGTCCCGGGGGGTGTGATGCAGGCAGCTCAAGGGTGAGCAGAAGATGGGTAGGGGCAGCCTTGGCAGAAGGAATGGGCACACCACGGCAGCCCCAGATGTTCGAGCAGTGCAGTTCAGCCTGGCTAATGCAGGATGCCGGGGGTTCAGAGTCTCCACAAGCTTGTGGGCAGGCCTGGGACATGGAGCAGTCAGGCCTCCAGAGAAATGAAAGACATTGCTGCTGGGCCCGTTGGAGGACGCAGTAGTCTATAGACTGTCCTAAGCTGTTTGCTGTGAGATACCGGGAGGGTGCTCAGCCCTAGCTGGGCCACAGAATCCACTGGAGGGAGCTTAGAAAATTTCTATTTATTTAAGGCAAGAATCATAAACAGATGTGGAAACCAGTGGGCCTGATGTGAAACAGGTATTTTCACAGTCTCAGAGCATCTTCCCAGAAGATAGTATCAATTACACAATGGAAAACTGCAGTAGCTGACATGGGAGAAGCCTGGGAGAGGCCGCCTGAACCAACAGGGCAGTAGCTTGTGCCTTCCAACACTCAGGACATCACTTCCCTGCTCTGACTGCCAAGAACGTAAAACCGAATCCAGTCGTGAAGAAATGCAGACAAACCCGTACTGGGGGGCATTCTACAAAATCACTGGTTTGTAATCTAAGATGTCAAGGCCACGAGAGGGAAGGCAGCCTGGGAACAGCTCCAGACTGGAGGAGGCTGAGACATGCTAACTCAGCGCAGTGGTCATCTGCATGAGGAAAGTGTGTCCTGCTGCTGCGAAGGACAGTAGTGGACAGGCTGAAATCTGAATAAACTCTGTGGCTCAGTTAATAGTTTTCTATTGTTAGTATGCTGATTTTGAGAAATGCATTATGACTGCATAGGAATGTCCTTGTTTTTAGGAAACTGATCATTCAGAGGTCAAGGAGCATCATGTCTGCAATATAAACAGCTCAGGGAAAAAACAATGTGTTTCTACAGAGAGTGATAAAGCAAAACTGATAAAACATTACATGTATATAAGTCTGAAATTATTTAAAAATATGAAGTTGACCTAATACCATGTCTGGGCTTCACCCCAATTACATTAGAACCTCTGGGCACATGAAGACCTGGGAACCAGTGCGTGAACAAGTTCCACCACCAAGCAAGTTTGTGAAATAATGAATTAAATCATTACTGCAGATCTTGGCAGAGCCCTTAATACTTTAATCTGCATTGTGAATCTGCAGGGGAGGTTCCTGGGAAGCTTTAGAAAAATTCCTAAAGTTTAGGCCGTTTCCTAAGTTACAGCAGTTTCACTGAAGAGATTTGAGGAAAGATGCCTTAAGATCATTTACTATTAAAAACCCAGTGTTCTGGAACTGAAACTTCTCCATCTCAGAACTGTAAAATTTTCATGCCATCTCTATGCCTTCCCAGGCACACAGGGTGCGTCCCTACCTTCTGATGAGCAACGAGCCTGGCAGCAACCCTTAGGGATGGTGCCACTCAGAGCCCACTTTGCCTGGTGGAGGTGAAGGGCTTCTTTCTGGCTGACATTGCTTTGAATGCAGTCAAGAGTCCCAAGCCCTAACCTTCCTCCCCCCAGTAGCTCCCCACTGCCCACACCTCAAGGTTTTCATTCACCAATTTACAGAAGTGTGTTTCCAAGAGCTGGCAATAAGGCCCACAAGGCAATTCATAGAGTCATGTCACTATTTTGGTTTCTCAGCCATGTAAAGTTACCTTACACTGCTGTAGTCAGTCTAAGTGTGCAACAGCATCGTGTCTTAAAAACAATGTGCATGCCTTAAAATACTCCATTACTAAGAAACAGTAAAATCTGATGTGCCTGACTGAACACTTGAAGTCTGCAGAAGTGAAGCAGCAGCAGTAGTGCAAGATGCAAGACGCTACAGCAGTAAACAACTGCAGTTATGAAACAAGCTTACAAATGTTTAACTCTGTGTGAATTACCCTGGAGCAAGCCAACAGTGAACTGATTTCAGAAGCAGTCACCTCACTTTGCCAGCAGTTAGCTGGGAAGGTTTGCCTTTTACTAACAAATAAGCATGAGTCACTCTTAATTTCTTATGTGAGCCAAACTCCAGCCCAGGGGAATGGGAAAGGGACATCTAGAGTCAGATGATAAAGCTGCAAGTCAGACAGAAGGTGGGGATGAAGAACGGTCTAGAGAGCCAAGAGAAGGCAACTGACCCTTTTGTTTTGCCCGGCAAACTTCCATAGGGAACCTCATCAGATCCCTCTGTCCAAGCTGAAAACCCTGGTATTTTCAATTCTATTTCTTGCAATTGGTCTGCCAGCTCAGTCTCAAAAACTGTCCTTGAACCCATCCCTGCTTCTCCAGCTTCACTGCCCTTGTCTCAGCTCACCTCCATCACTGCCTTTGGTCTGGTCTCTTCACTAGCCTTGAGTCTTACCCAATCTGCTCTCCATGCAGCAGCCAGGGATTTCTCCCCTGCTTCTCTTTATTGGGTTCCCTGTGGCCTCCAAGATGAAGTCCCTGCTCCTGCAGGCCCTCGGTGTCCTGCCTTCCCCTTCCTCTGCACATCATCCCTCCGGCCTGAGCTCTCTGCCTTGTCTGCCTACCAATCCCCAGGTCAAATCTCTCCTACCTGAGACTGTCCCAGATCCCAGAAACTGCAAACCCCATCTTTGCTGGCCCCCCATCCTGCAGTGTGCCTGCAGAGAAGGGTTCCTCTCCTCCGCTTGCTCTTGAAGGCAGGATACTTGCTACCCTTGTGTTTCTGTGTGAAGACTGCCTAGCACCAGGCGCAGGGTAGGTGCAGGCATAGGTCTGCAGAATTGCTGGCAGCAGGCAGAGAAGATATGGGACCACAGCAAAGACAGATGGGAGGACAGTCACTAGTAATAGAGTCACTAGTAATGTTTAGGGCCCTGTCTAAGCTGTCACCCCACCAGGCCCTGCATGTCAGCCATGACCCTGTGGTACACGGCAGTGTTATGTAAACAGCAGAGTGAGACTCAGTGGTGAGACCTGAGATAAATTTCTTAGGTAACACCAGCATTTTTTAAAAAATAATGTACGTAGTAATGGTAAAAGCCTAATTCTTTCTATAATATATCCAATTCTGTCTCCCCAACATACACACACACAACACAATGTGTGTGCTGTGTGAAAAGGCATCACTCCACCCTTCTGGCATGGTATTAAAAAATATTTCCTTAGGTTTAAAACTCGGCTCCAGACACTTACTGGTTATATAACTTTTGGCAGTTATGTAACCCCTGTTTGTTTCCTCTGCAAAATTCTGGTTGCTCCAAGGGTCAAGTAAATACATCTTAGATTACAGTTATACCAGATGCCCGAAGGGTGAACTCACATTTGCCGAAATGATTCCTGCTTTTGGCATCTGACAAAGTCAAATGGAAACCTGCAAAACTGAATGTCTCCCTCTACAAGACATTTTGGTTGTATGGTATAGTGATTTGGGCATATAGTAAGGTCTAGGCTACAATATTGAGAGAATGTATTGCCAAGAGTTTGAAAAACCCCAGTTTTAGGTACTTTAATTGCCTGATCCTATTCTGTACTGACAATTCTGTAGATGATTATTATTCCTGAGCCTGAGACTGAGCAACTGAGTCTCAGCTGAAGTGAGTGCCCAAGAGCAGGTGACCAGTAAACGGCAGTGCCGGGATGTGCCCACACCGCGTTGGCGTCTATAAACAGCAGGGCTGCGGAAGGTGCACACTAAGGGAGGGGGATCCGAAGGCGAGTCTGGGGAGTAGGAAGCAGCTTATTCATGGGAGGAAAGGCAGGCTGGGACTGTGGCAAGTAGGCTCCTGCAGCCTAGGCCTGGGGTGGAGGGGGTGGAGGGGAGCGTGTAGATGGAGAGGACAAGGGAACAGTACTCACTTGCACTCGGCCTCTGCATCGGCCTTGGCAGTTGTATACAGGCCACGCAGCTTTGTCCGATAATAGGGAGAGACTGCAGAGCAAAGACAAGGGAAGAAGCATGGGAGGGGGCAGCTGGCAGTGAAGTGGCACCGCTTCCAGTACTTTGGAATCAGACTTTGGGAGGTGCAGAGAGGCGGGGGACCTCAGTCTAATCTTTATTATCTTAGAAGGGCTCCCTGAAGACGATACCCTATGTTCAGTGAGTTCACATTTTCATAAGGTACAAATGCCGTCACCACATCAAGGAGAGGACTGGCTGTGACACATGCAGAGAGCATCTGTCTGTACACTCGAAGCTGCTCAGAGTTGGGAGCACTGGCCCAGGAGCCTGACCCTCTGAGGGCCTCAGGGATCCAGCAGAGGCACCCAGTGAGAGCAGCTGTCTCAAGAACATCAGCTAACTGGGGTGCTTGTGTACTCTTAAGGGGTTTCCCTAGATACAGTCTGATTTCACGGACTAGCTAGTCCCTGGAGTTGGGGGATTTAAGGTGCCTTAGTGCTCGGCTGTCTATCACCTGTTGCCTGGGCCACCCTAGGTCATCCAGCCTTATGAAGACACATGCAAAAAGTTCCCTGGGTAATGGTAAGAGCCTGATCCCAGTCTTGCCCCTCGCCCCTTCAAATCCCCCTTCTCGCCCGAGCCCAGGGACTCACTCTTGTTCTCTGTCTGCATCCGCTCGTGGGTCTTCTGGATGTTGACTAAGTTGTGTTCGCTCCGTGAACGCTCTTCCTGTGAGGATGAGATCAAGAGGACGTGAGGGGGCCTTTCATCCTGCTGTGTGCCCTGCATCCCAGGACATGGGCCCCACAAACATGGGCTTCATTTCTAAATCCAAATTCAGGATAAGTTCAAAGGCTCTAACCCCCTGACTACTGCAAAAGCATTACAAAAAGGCTTTGAAGTTAAATCATAAGCTATATATTTAATGACTTTATCAAAGAGACAAATTGATTGACCGAGTCTATGCCATCCTTATCAAAATGCCTGCTGATTTCTTTGTAGAAATTGGCAAGCTCGTTCTAAAGTCATATGGAAATCCAAGGAGCCTAGAATAACCAAAATAATCTGGAAAAACAAAATTGGAGGATTGACATTTCCCATTTCCAAAATTCACTAGAAAGTTATCTGCTAGTGTAGTACTAGCATACAGCTCAAAGGAACAGAACTGAGAAGCTAGAAATGAGCACACACATGGATAATCAGTTCCCCAGGAAGGGTGCTGGCACAGTTCTTCCCGTCAGTGGTCCTGGGCCCAGGGCTGCAAGGGAAGATGCAGTGCTGATCCCCAGGAAGAAAATGACTATGCCCTTTCAACTTATATCAGAATTTCTAAGTGCCTGAGCGGGTAGGCTGGACCTTCACTCCATCTGGCAAAAATGGAGCCAACCGTTACTACCTAATGTCAAAACATTAGGTAATGCAGCTACTACCTAATGTCAAAACAGTCCGCTAGCCCTAGCCCTCTGTACCCCACCTACATGGACAGGGATGGAGTGAGGGCTGGACACCCGCTGGACTAGAGTCACTGCCTGTGCAATGGTTGAACCCAAACTCCCTTCCAAGGGTAGAAAACTATGGTAAAAATCAATGACAGATGGAGAGAAAGAGAAACAAATAAACAGGTTATACAATGAGGGAAATGCGGTATCACATTAGCACCTCGAGAGAGGCCCTGAACAAAGGAATAACAACATTACCAGTTACTAGCTCAGTTATACCAGATGCCCGAAGGGTTAACTCCCATTTGCCAAGATGATTCCTGCTTTTGGCATCTGACAAAGTCAAATGGAAACCTGCAAAACTGAGTATCTCCCTCTAAGAGACATTTTGGTTGTATGGTATGATGATAAACTGCACTAACTGTTGACAAGTGAATGTAATTCAGGTAAGCTGCCATTTCTTTCTCCTTATCTTTTAATTTTTATTAGCTATATTTAGGGCAATTCTAGGTTTACAGAAAAATTGAGCAGCTAAAGAGAGAGCTCCCATATACCTCTTTCCCCTGCACAGTTTCCCTTATTACTAACACCTTGTATTTATGTGGTACATGTGTTACAATTAAGAAGCCAATATCAACAGTTTTTAATTGAAGTCCATAATTTACATTAAGGTTCACTATTTGTGTTGGACAGCTCTGGGGTTTTGACAAATGCATGTCATGTACCATTATGGCATCACATAGGACAGTCTCACCTCCCTAAAAATCCCCAATGCTCCCCTACTCATCCTCCCTCCCTCCAAGCCCCTAGCAATCACTGATCTTTTTACTCTCTCCAGTTTTGCCTTTTCCAGAATGTCCTATAGTTGGAACCATGCAATAAATAACCTTTCGGACAGGGCTCTTTCACTTAGCTATATGTGTGCTAATATCTTTTGATTCTGGTTTTTCAGGTTACACCCCACTGTGAAGACTATCATGTGGGAAGGAATTCCCAGAACCTGCTCCCCCAGGGCCGTCAGATGTGTGGAGGACTCTTGCCGCAAGCTGATCGCTGTATGTGGCTATAAACCTGGGTGTGAGTGTTTACATATAAAGGTCCAAGGTCCCTGTGTGTCCAAGGACCCACACCATACATATCACCCTGGCTTTTGTGAATGAAAAGCTTTTTTAAAAATAGGGGGGAAATCGGTTCTTAAAGGATTAAAACAGCAGGCATTGTAAGGTGGGTCCAAATTCCACTCCGGAACAGCTCCATCCTGAGAAAGGGAAGGTTAGGAAGGTTTTGGGAGGTCAGATGATACACTCAAGCTAAATCAGACATGATTATCCCTCACTAAGCTTAGTGAGGACCCCAACTCTTTGGGGCACAAAACATGTCTCCTAACTGCAAGGCCACTGATACATAATGTCAACAAAATGCAGGGTGAAGGAAACAAAGCTGGTCCACAGACAGAAAGGACACTAAGGGAAATAGGTGTCTGCCCTGTGGGACAAGCTGAATTCACTTTTAATCAAAAACAGCATTCAGAGGAAAAATTTGTTTGTTTGTTTTTTTTTTTTTTAAAGAGGCATGTATTTTTATTTATGTATTTATTTATTTATTTGTTTGTTTATACATGCACTGGGTACAGTCAGAAGCGCGGGAGGGTGAGAGAATTCACCAGAGCCAGAGCGGGGAGCAGAGCAGGCAGAAGGACCTAAGTACACTGCTGAGGGGAGCAGCGGGCGGCAGGAGAGGTCTGCGCGCCATGTGGGACCCTCCTCTGGTGGCCGGGGAGCAGCCGGGGATCGAACCGGCGCCGCAGAGGCCGCGGGCAGCTTCGCAACCCAGCGCTCAACCGCTGCGCCACCGGGGAGGCCCTGGAGGAAAAATTTGTTAATAGGAATAAATACATTAAAGAGAGCTTTCTTGCAGGAGAAAGGCAAGGGCAGTCAGACTGGAAAGGTGATGATGAAGCTTTAGTGAGACCCTGAGCCACCAAGGCCTCTTGACTATTTTAATTCAGAGGGAAGCAGAAGTGGCCACGGGGCAGTGGTGCTCCAGCCTAGCTGCTGAGTGGCCCAGGACATAACTGAGGGAAACTTGTGGACTTCCAAACCTATGGAAGCCTCTAGGGCACTTGTCGTGGATGAACCATGACTACCTTGACCCCGATCAGATCAATGAGACATATTCTGAGTGGGCAGGAATAGAATTTTCTGCTGAATAAAACCTGTGCACTCCCCAGAGGCAAGTGGTAGGTCCTGGCATACAGCAGCACACAGTGGAAACCAGTCACAGAACAAGCTGAGACAGGATGACTCAGCTTTGTTCCCAGCAGATTTCAAGCCTAGAAATAGCTGAATCATGGTGAACTGTGCAAAGTGTGTCCATTGTAGTACCTGGTAAATGGGAAGACTCAATTTCGTTGGAAAGGCTCAACAAATAGCTCTGTAATCCCTACCAATTTGTTCTATAAAAAAAACTAAGTTTTACCATGACCATACTTAACACTCTGTGCTGTTGCTAAGATTCAGCCACCTTATGTAAATAGGTCATATGGTAATATTGAGATTGAGGACCACGTGTACAGGGGATCAAAGCCTTTCTGTACCCAGCACTGATGAAATGGCAGGCCTGATCAAGAACTGGATTTAGCTCAAGGGTTCTAGACATATTTACCATAAAGATACAAATAGTGGAAGAAGAAGGGAGAAAACAAGAAATCAAGTAAGTACCAAAAAAATATGAAAGTGTATGTAATGGCTCTCTAGGACAGATTAGTTGTTTTTTTTTACGTCTATCTCTACCCCCACACTGGTGCCTCCAATTGATGGGCACATCCATAGGGTACTATTGCTGTATCTGTTACATAAATGTCATACTCAATATAGAGGCTCAAACAAGATAGTTTTGCTCTAAGGGAGGGGCAAGGAAGGGCGTTTGCCTGTGCAGAAGATTAACTCAGCAGGCCTGGATTTTCAAATGTGCACACTCCCAAAAACCTTTGATCGCTGACCAGCTCTTGGGAGATAACTTCTAAACACTTGGAATGTACAGATAGATAACAGCACCTTTGTTTAGCTGGGGCAACAGGGTGAAGGGACAGGGTCACGACTGCTTCTGGATACGGGGCAAATGTTCTGAAATTGACAGTGGTGATGGTTATACAATTCCTTGAATACACTAGTCACCACTGAATTGTAGACATCAAATGGGTATATTATATGGTATGTGAAAAATATTCAATATAGTTATTATTAAGCAAAACAAATTATGAAATCCAGCACATGCGGGGAAATCCTATAGGAAGAGCAGTCAACCCAACACTCTCCTCCGCTCATCTTCAGATATCACCTGGGTTCCTGCATGTCCCAACTCTCTGACCATAACCCCCACCTGCCCCTCCACAGCTTTGCATCACAGTCCATGTTTCTCACCAGAAGCAGGGGGCTGTGGATTTTTACCTGGGTTTGTTTGATCAGCTGATGGAGCTCTGTGAGAAGTTCTGCAATTCTGGAATCAGCAGATACAAGTGCCATTGTTTATGGGGGTGCCTGGGGTGGAGAGGAAGAGAAGCCTGTTAGTAACTGTTGTGGGTTATGGGTTAATGATGGCCTCTGAAAAGATACGCTGAGGTCCTAATCCCTGGTACCTGTGAATGTGATCTTATTTGGAAATAAGGTCTTTGTAGATATAATTAAGATGTACATTAAGGACACGCTGGATTAGGGGAGGCCCTTATTCCAGTATGACCAGTATCCTTAGGAATAGTGGAATATGGTAAAGGGCATCTACGAATAACCCATAGAGAACATTATATCTAATGGTGAAAGACTGAACTTTCTCCCTTACGATCACAAACAAGTCAATACTGTTCTGGAGTTCAAATCCAGGGCAAATAGTCCATAAAATGAGATAAAAGAATCCAGATTGGGAGGGGCCTCCCCTGGTGGTGCAGCAGTTGAGCGCTGGGCTGCGAGGCTGCCTGCTGCCTGCAGCCTCTGCAGCACCGTTAGTTCCCCCGCTGCCGGCGAGGGTCCCACAAAAAAAAAATAATCCAGATTGGGAAAGAGGAAGTAAAACTGTCCCTACTTGCAGATGACATGACCATATATATAGAAAATCCTAAGGAACTATTAGAACCAATACAAAGGTTAGAACTAATAGCAAGATTGCAGGATATAAGATCAGTAGACCAAAAAAAATTGTATTTCTATGTACCTGTAATGAAAAATACAAAAGTGAAGTTATAAAAAATTCCATTTATAGCAGCATAAAAAAATTTAATGGGAGGGCCTCCCCGGTGGCGCAGCGGTTGAGCGCTGGGTTGCGAAGCTGCCCGCGGCCTCTGCGGCGCCGGTTTGATCCCCGGCTGCTCCCCGGCCACCGGAGGAGGGTCCCACATGGCGTGCAGACTTCTCCTGCCGCCCGCTGCTCCCCTCAGCAGTGTACTTCGGTCCTTCTGCCTGCTCTGCTCCCCGCTCTGGCTCTGGTGAATTCTCTCACCCTCCCGCGCTTCTGACTGTACCCAGTGCATGTATAAACAAAACAAACAAACCAGCAAACAAATAAATAAAGCATGCCTCTATTAAAAAAAAAAAAAAAAAAAAAAACTGTTAAAAAAAAAAATTTAATGGGAAGTACACACTTTTAAGCTGCACTTTTTAAAAGTAAGAACTACAAAATCATTGATAAAAGAGATTAATACCTAAATGAACGAAAAGCTATCTCATGCTCATAGATCAGAAGACTAAATATTAAGTCAGAAATACTCCCCAAATTAATCTATAGTTTCAACGTAATCCCAACTGGCTTCTTCGCAGAAATTAAGAATCTCACCTTAAAATTTATATGAAAATTCAAGGGATCCAGAATAGCCAAAACAATCTGGAAGTTTTCCCAATTACAAAACATGCTACAAAGCTGCAGTAAGCAAGATAATGTGGTACTGGCCTGAGAAATAGACATAAAGATCAAAGGAATAGAATCAAGAGACCAGAAATAAGCCCTGGTATCCATGGCCAATTGGTTTTCAACATCTGAGTGTGTCCGGACAATTTAATGGAGAAAGAATAGACTTTTTGATAAATGGTGCTAGGACTAGATGTCCATATGTGAAAGAATGAATCTGGGTCCCTCCTCTAGACCATATTAACAGTGATCTGAATAGTTTTCCAAAAATTATATATAAATGGCCAACAAGCACATGAAAAGATGCTCAATGTCATTAGAAATCAAGGAAATGCATGTAGAAACCGCAGGGAGATCCCACCTCACATTCACTGGGGTACAATCAAAGAGACATAATAACAAGTGTGGGTGAGGATATGGAGAAATTGTCTGAATGGATAAAGTGTGGTATTATGCGTACAACAGAGTCTGTACTTGACAATACAAAGGAATGAAGTACTGACACAACGTGGATGAACCTTGAAAACATGCTAAGTGATAGCCAGACACAACAGACCACATATTGTATGATTCCATTTATATGAAATAGCCAGAAAAGGTAAGTCCATAAAAGGTGGGAGGCAGAAAGGGGAGTGACTGTGGATGAGCAGGGGGTTTTCTGGCCAGGTGATGGTATGCCCTAAAATTGACTGAAGTTGCACAACTCTGAATATATTAAAAACAAATGACTGTACATTTCAAACAGGTGTATATCCCCATCTCCCCCAGTCCCAGGCAAACACTAATCTACTTCCTGTCTCTGTAGCTATGCATACTTTGTTCTTCATTTCCTTTTATTGATGAATAATATTCCACTGTTCAATTATGTCATATTTTGTATATCAGCTCATCAACTAATGGACATTTGGGTTGGCTATTTTTTGGTTATTATGAACAATGCTGCTACACACACTCATTTTTGAACATTATGAATACATGTTTTGGGTGGACATGTTTTCATTTTCTGAATATAAATCTAGAAGTGGAATTGCTGGATCACTTGGTAACTCTGTAACCTTCTGAGGCATGGCCAGACTGCTTCCACAGTGGGAGTGTCATTTTACTTTCCCACCAGCAAGGTGTGAAGGTTCTGCGATCTCTGCATCTGCACAAGATGTGTTATTATCTGTCCTTTTTATGATACCCATCCTACTGGGTGTGAGACGATAACCAGTGGCTTTGATTTGCAGTTCCCTGATGACTATTGATGCTGAATATCTTTTCAAGTATTTAGTGGCCATTTGTGTATTTTCTTGAAAGAACTTCCCTGTGCTCATTTTTATTGGATATTTGTCTTTTGTATTATTCAAATAATGTCTTTTGTATTGTTGTGTCCTTTAAAGCACATTTTCAATTTTTATGAAGTCCAACAAATGTTTTTGATTGCGTGTAACATTGATTTGTTTTTTCTCATACATACGTGCAACAGTATTTTTAACACTCCAGTTTTATCACCCCCCCTTTTTTTTTCAAATATATATCAGGGGAGAGTGCAACACAGTCCCCCACTACTACAAATTATGCAGTCCCATTTCCCACATAGGGAAACCACAGGGGTTGGACCATCCAGAGTGCAATGAATGAGCCTCACCCTGGGAAAACTATCTTCGTGATCATGGTATCTCCTCTGCAGGTAAGTACAGGTAAAATAACTTATACATAAAAAATCTGGATGCCTTCTCTGTAGCTGTCCTCTTTCCAAGATCAGCCTCTGTCACATAAGGCATTAAAAACAGGGAACTCCCCAGTGCTATTGTTTTCTGGGGTCAACGTCTCTCCAGTCACTGCCTGGTTTTGGTTGCTATCCAGTACCTGTAGATAGTGGTTTTTATATTTTGTGCAGTTTGTAATCCAAATATCTGATTCTTTATTCTAAAATGACTGCCATAGGGCTGAGCACAATAAGAGCTTTTTCTGGTGCTAAGGGAAGCTGTGCTGCTAAGTTGCAACGCTCATATACCACGCCCTCAACCCAGCCACCATCAAGAATGTAGATTCCTATTCAACAACTTGTTTTTTAAAAATTAATATGAAACAATGATTTTTCTAGCTATTCTGTATCATGATTCTGCACCAAAGCTTACATGAGTGGTTCCTTGTAACCTTACATCAATCCTATAAGCACACTCTCTTGACAGTAGGGGAAACTGAAGTACAGAGAGATTACGCTATGGAAATGCAGGTAGTTGAGCTGGGATTCCAAAGCTGCAGACTCTAAAATGTTCTTCCTCCTCCTGATTCCAAGTTTTGTCACAATTCCAGTGCTCCCATCCCAAACATGCACAGACTTTCATGCTCCTGTGATGCCTGCCGAACGTGTTATGCCTGCCTGGAATGCCCTTTGATCCTACCCCCTATTTCCCTCCAGGTCTCTCATATCTCATGGCTCAAATCAAATGGCAGACAAGTTAACAGCTTTAAGCAGTACTTGCGATGCCCTTTCATGTAATGTCATACAGAGAACATGATAGTATCTGCATGGCACTCTGGGGTAAAAGGACAAAACAGCTCACAGCCCAAAATGATTGGCAGGGGGATCTGGCTGCCCTGGACCCTTCTCTGCCAAGGACAATCAAAACTTCTGGCAACTTACAGAGCACCCGAAGCAAACTTCAATTCTTCCACTTGTCACAGATACAATTTCCCTTAACGAGTCTCTCCCATCAGACCACAAACTCTCAACAGTAGGGGATGCAGTTTTATTCATCTCTCTGTTCCCAGCAAGTTGTACAGGGTCTGGAACCTACTAAATCCTAAAAATGGAATTCTGAACTGAACCTCTTAAACCAGTCTTTCAAAATACAAATACTGCAGCAAGTTTTAAACTGGGCTATTCAATATTTTCTCCTCTGCCACACCCCAAAATTAGTTGCTATCAGCATACTCTACGAGGGACTAATTCCCTCCCACGGAGAAGAGATACTTCCCCTTGAGGGAGCCATTCACTCTTCCCCAGCCCCTACTCTGCACCAGGCAACAGGGATGCACAGCAGCGACTGAGACCGGCAGACCCCGCCGCGCGGGTCCACCAGCGACCGGCGGGTAGAGACTGCAGCCTGTGCCGGCAAACGGGGGCAGACGAGGAGGCAACTGAGGTATCTGGGGGAATGGAAGCTGCTATGCCAGAAGGGCTACGTTTTGACAAACAGTAAAAGCTGCCAGAGCTCGGGGACTGCCGCCCGCCCTCGCCTCCCCGTCCCGTGGAGCCGGGGAACCCGCGCGCCCCGCGGCCGCCGCGCGCACGCGCAGACCCGGCCGGGCCTCCCGCCCTCCCCGCGCCGCGCCCCGCCCCTCCGCGCCCGGGCGCGTGCGCAACGCCCTCGAGAGCGCCGCGGCGAGGCCGGGGTGTGGGGACGCAGAGGGGGACCCCGGCCTCCGCGCCCGCCGTCCCCCGGCGGGGCGGGGGGTGGGGCGCCCAGACTGCGACCCGCCGGCACCTACCGCGCCACGGGCGGAACGAGCACGTCACGCTGGCAATTGCTACGGTGGGCCGGGCGCGTCCCTGGAACGCTCCTTAGAGTCTGTGAATGACAACGCGCCTGTGTTCGAAGATTCTCGTGTGTCGAGAACCACACGGGCTTTTTTGCCTTTTATGATCCTAGGCGCAACGCGGAGGGCCCCGCTACGCACGCGCCGTTCTTACTCTGTGACGTGCCGCGCTGCCCCTTGGGAAATGTAGTTTTTACTTTGGCACACAGTTTTAGGCTCTAAAGCTGAATGAAACTTAATGAACTAAGGTTCCTTTGTGTTTTCAGCATCTTTTCGCATTCCGCTTAGTCTCTACAAAATAATATTTTTTTTTTAAAAAGCAGAGGGCCTCCCTCGTGACGTAAGGGGTTAAGACGCAACCTATGAAGCAATCCCAGCCACAAGTTCGATTCCCCCTGCCGGCCAGAGAGCAACCCACATGCTCAGCCAACCTCATCTGACTCGCCCGCTGCTTCCCTCAGCAGTGTATTTCAGTCAGTCTGCCTGTTCTGTTCCCCACTCTGTCTCTGGTGAATCCTCTCACCAACCCCCCCCCCCCGACCTGTACCCCAGCTCTTGTATGCATAAATAAATAAATCTCAAAACAAAAAACAAAAAGCAAAAAACAAGCAGTTTGTTGATGGTGGGGGGCGGGGAAAGAGGGTAAGTGAGTACTCGCTGCTTTTTGCCTCAATTTTGCTGTGAACCTGAAAGTGCTCTGAAAGTCTTTTTTCATTTAGCAAATAAAAATAACCAGATTTGTAGTTCCAGAAAGCAGGCTTTATGGAGTCTTCCCAGGAACATATTAAAGGTATGGGAAAATATTTAGTTATAAATGTTTTACTTACGAGTATCTTGTAATTTCTTACATAACCCTACCAAAGTTTATTGTTACATAATTATTTGTTTATTTGATAAACTTGCCAGCTCAATGAGGTCAGGAGCATCTGTTTTGTTGATCTATGTATTCCCAGTTCCTAGCTCAGTGCCAGGCATATAATAGGTCTCAATATATTTTTTTAAAATATTTATTTGTTTATTTATACAAGCACTGGGTACAGTCAGAAGCGCAGGAGGGTGCGATCATTTACCAGAGTCAGAGCAGGGAACAGAACAGGCAGACTGACGAAATACACTGCTGAGGGGAGCAGTGGGCGCTGCAGAAGTCTATCGTGCCATGTGGGACCCTCGCTGGCGGCTGGGGATGGAACCAGTGCTGCAGAGGCTGTGGGCAGCTTCGCAGCCCAGGGCTCAACTGCTGCACCACCAGGAAGGCCCAGGCCTCAATATTTTTGTATTTGTTAAAAGAATCTCAGACTTTAACACAGTTTCAGCCCAAAACTTAAAGCATTATTTTCTTCCATCAAGATTGCTTTTCTTTCTGTGGTCTTGTGGGATCAGTCTCCCCAAGAAAGTCAGATAGGCTTTTCTCAATTTGCCCAGAGTAGGCCTCTTTTTAGCTTGGTGTGGGAAATAGATATCAATTAAGGTGAGCCTTGCAAGGGCTATCACCATTACTAAGAGACTGCAGACTGTTTCAGTTTTAGAGCAGCAAGAGCTCTGAAAGCTACCAGAAGCATCTGTCTCTGCCCATAGCCTTCTCCCCTTCTAAAGCTTAGAAGAGATACCTAGAAGAATGTAATTTGGAAGGTCTCACCCAGTTCTCCATTTATCGTTAACATGCCCTCTCTAAGAATCACATGTTGAGGTACCCCCATCCTTGTCTGCAAGTTTCTCTTTCTTTGTCCTTGATGCCCCAGATCCCAAAATGCAGGATAAATATTCCCATTATTCTTTAGAATTTACAACCATGTAAATTCTCCATATGTATGTTATTGAATGGATTGTTTTTCCATTGCTGTCTTCTACTGTGTTTTTTTTTTTAAAGATTTATTTATTTATGTATACAAGAACTGGAGTACAGGCCAGAGATGTGTGTGGGGAGGGGGGATGAGAGGATTCACCAGAGACAGAGTGGGGAACAGAACAGGCAGATCGACTGCTGAGGGGAGCAGCGGGCATGACAGGAGAGGTCAGCTGCGCCATTTAGGTAGCTCCCTGGCCTGCTGGGAATCGAACCGCGCTGCAGAGGCTGCAGACAGCTCCACAGCGCTGCACTCAACCTGCTGCGACACCAGGGAGGCCCATACTGCGTTTTGATTATTGTCTAGCCCAAAAAGAACCCAGAGGGATACCGGGCTACTGGACAATTTCCTCTTGTGCCCTACAGTTTCTGTCTCAACAAATACCATATCATCCACCCTATAGCTTGAATTCCCACTAACTCCTGTTAGTGGGAAGCTCACAAATTTTGCATTTGTAAAAGTGTCAGGAGGTATCTCTCCTGAAAGTCAAATATCTTACTCCTCAGGAGAGGTTTGGAGCTCACCACTGCCTGGATTTTTCTTAAATTTCTGATTTCTTTAAATTTCTACAATAAGCATGTATTACCTGATTAATTTTAAGTGTTTTAGAGTGTTGCCCATGTGTAAGGGATAACTGTCTTTCCCTTCATATCCAAATTTTACAGAAGAATCATCATTTTCATTTGTTCACCTCCCAGACAGAGGCCTGAGGCAGGACCGGAGTTATCCTTGACTTCACCCTTCCCCTCTCCACCCTTATTCGATCCATCGCTCTGTGTCTGCTATAAAAATAGCAACTCACATTTGTTGGGCACTTACTGTTAAAAAAAAAAGTAGAAAGAACAGTCCCAAAATGGAACACTAGATACCAGCTCCCCCTAGACTTAATACCTAATTTCATTGCAGTTTCAGTCTTTCACAAAAGTGTAATCCTAAACCAATCAATACGGAGTTTCCAGATCAGTAATATAAGACACTGCTGTTTGCCCCAGGGAAGATGATTTTACTGGAAATAATCTTCTTCTGCTAATAACCTTACTTCATCCTCTTGCAGTCTATAAATACCCTCCATTTTGTGTAACCTCTTACAGAGTCTAGGTAAGATACTACCCAATAAATCCTTATAACAAGGACAGTTAAATCTCTAAATTTGTGAATTTTGTCCTTTAACACTATGCATAAGGCACTTATATGCATGTTCACACATTCATAGAACATAGGCCCCACCCTCGGCCAAGGTGCTTCTGCTCTTGCCTAAATAATGGCAAAACTGTCTTTATTTTTAATCTCAGGCTCAACAGTTGGATTACTTCATCACTGTGCTCTGCACAGCCTCCCTGTATATATCATGGCCTTTTATCCCTTTCTCCACTCCTCCTACCTTCTCCTGTGGAATTTGGGAGTGTCTTCTTAAAACCTGCATGTTGCTTAGTGTGCATGTATTTTTAATTCACCTACATGGTATTGTTCTATAACTCTCATTCTATTTCTCATTTTTTCCACTCAGCACTATGCTTTCAAGACCTGTCCTTGTTGTATACACCAGGCCTGTTACTTCTCAGCCCACTGAGTTATATGGAACAAGTTAGAACTGTGGGACTGACCAGAACATTCCCTTTGCTTGGGGGGCACAGTGGCTTCCTGTGAGAGAGCCCCAGCATGGCCAGGAAATCTGGGCCCGTCCTAAGTCATTTCAAGAGTATCACATCTGAAAGTTATTCCAAAGGGCTTTGAAAAGTCACAGGGATTTTTACTGAGGTCAAGACATAGGGATTTGTAACAAACACTCCGCAAATCCCTTCCTTCGTGCAGAGTTTCACTGCTGAGGGCAATACTCTTAATCTCTCCTTCTTATTTGCTTCCCACTATGCCCCCCGCCCCCGCCATGTTGCTTTTTTGCATGGTAGCTTTGGGCACCATCTATGTACAGTCCGCCACCAATCTCTCGGTTTATACCTGTCCATACCCACCCATCACCCCACTTGAGCAAAACAAAAGGCTCTCACCTTGAATCTGACCTCCCAGGACAACCAGGTAGGGGAAATTGTAGCTGTCAACTTCAAAAATAAATAGCCAAGACTAACCTAGGCAGTGGGGCTGGGAGAGGGCAAGCAGGCTGCCTCTAATCAGTGAGGTCTGGGGATCTTGGGGGTGGCAAAGATGGAATGGGGTGATAAATAGCCGATTATATCTTCTAATAAAAGGACAAAAAAAAATGAGAAATCATCCCACACTTCCAACAAGTGTTGGAGAGGATTTTGGAAAAAAGGAACCCTTATACTTTGTTGCTGGGCATGTAAATTGGTACCACCATTTTGTAAAGCAGTCTAGATCTATCTTTAAAAATGAAAAATGGAAACACCATATGATTCAGCATTCCCACTTTTGGGTACTATCTGAAGAATTATGTGCTCCTCAATGTTTACAATAGTTAAGATATGGAAACAATCTTCGTATCCACTAATAGAGGATTAGATAGAGAAGATGTGGTATAGCCACACAATGGAATACTCTTCAGCTATAAGTAAGATGAAACCCTATTCATAGCAACATGTAAGCAACTCCAGGGGATTATGTGAAGCAAAGTAAGCCAGAAAATAAAGACAAATATTGGACTATCTCACATATGAGTAATATAAAAAACACAAAGCAGAAAAAATGATAAAGCAAAATAAGTATAAACTAGCAGACATTGATAACCAAACTCAGGTTTCCTAGGTTCAGAGGGAGGGGGTAGGGCTGAAGGATAACAGGGGAATAAGGGAAGGTGGTGGGGAAACAAAA